TAATGTTTAAGACACACAGAGTCAAAAACTGTGCACATCAAAGAGTTGAATTGGGAGTAGGTAGTGAGGCAGGTCAAGAAGATTTTGGAGAGATAATATTCAACACTTGTTAATACCACCTGGAAAGAAGACCAAGCATAGAGATGAATAGAGACAGGTGATATCTGCAGCAGTTAACTTCAATGGCTCAGAATTTGGAAGAAGAAGAAGAAGAAAGCCTGAAGAAGTTGAAATAAAAGCACTGTGGGGCAGAAAGAGCTAAACTAACTTCAGAAAGAATTATTAGCTGGTTTATGTATGGGCTGGTGAAATACCTTATATAATAACTTTACATGTTTATAGCCAACTTATCGTGACCTACTACTTCCATCGACCACAAAGTGCATTTTTGACTATTGGCTTAAGCACTGCTAGAAACTGCCTCATGCATTTACTGCATGCACATGTTTCCGGATTGTGCCAGGATTCATTGTTTGTTCACTAGTTTTTAAAATGTGATAGTGAGGGACATTTCAATCTATTTTCACTGGCACAGGAATGGAGCAAATATGGGTTGACTTGATTGCAGTGAAGTCGAAACCTCAACTAAGACTAAGATAGAATAAGTTAATGTAACAATTGTCTACGTCAGAAGAAAGGCTGAAAAGTTTATACTGTCTTTAGATCAAGCTATTGCCCGGCTCTCTAGTGTAGTTGGCTAAACCGGATTGCGTGGTGACCGGGTGACAAACTCCTTGTGGTCTGGGTTCACTCCCGGGGATAGACAGAAAAGCTACATTTCTCCCAGATTTACGGTATTTATCATGGAATCAAGGCCGAAAGGTTGCGATATCCATAATACCGTGCCTAAGGGTTAACAACTAATGGCTCATGGATACTAAAAAAAAAATATAAAAAAAACAAGCTACAAATGCGTGTTGAGTTGAATCCAGAAGAGTTCATTAAATATGCCACATTTTTTAAATTCTTCGTTTGAGTAAAAACGTTTTTTGCTGAAATTTAGTTGTAGTTTGATGAAATAAGATAGTTTTTTTTGCCAAAGTCTACTTGTATTTTGCCTCTTCTGTTTTGATACAGGAAGCAGTATTTCAGTATGACTCAGGTAGTTTAATGGATAGAGGTCACTCACAAGCAAGGTAAGGTTTGACAAGATTCATTTCTTTCAGAGAATGGATTTTTTAAGGATTTAGTTTAGAAAATTTGTCCTTTAACATTGATTATCCTCTAAATTAAAGCTAGGGGGCTGCCTGCTGCATGGTCTCGAATCATGGTATCCACCTCAAGTGCTAGAGGTTCCGGTTTCAATCCCCGATAAGGGCTGGTATTTTTTTTTTAGTAATTTCCCCCCTGATCTCTGGGTTGTAAGAATGGATGCCCGTGTGCATTGTTGCACAAGTAAAAAAATCCCTTGGCAGTTGGAAATTGAAAAGAGTAGTATAACGGCGCTGCCCTGGCAAAATTTGGAGTTAAAAATCTACCCAAAATATATAAGGATCCTTCCTGGTGCTACAGAGCCTGTGCACTGTGCTGAGCTTCTTCGGACTAGAAGAAGAACGGAGCACTTATGGGTTACACCTGTGTGCCATGATGTTGATCCATTGTTCAAACCTCAAACTTCAAAACCTAAATTAAAGCTATGGCCCAATTTTTTTCCTGTCTTTAAATGCAGAATAAACTTTAACATGAAATGCAGTGACATAAAGTATAAAATTAGATCATATCAAAAACAATGTATCACACAAATTATTTAACTTTTTGATTACCAAGGAACGCATCACGCACTGATTAGTTACTACCCAGCTTTCCAATCGGCACGTTATGTGTACAGGTTTTTAATTTACCACTGACCAATGTAAAAAACAGCACAATTCAGATTTACTTTCCAGTTCATTGTGTTTGATATCACACGTTTGGGACCTTCAGGTTTATTTGGAAACATGGTTTAAAGCCTAAAATATAGTTTGTTTGCGAGGTTCAACGAGTTACTGTTTGTTTGAAAACAATATGGCCACTGAGCATTATTCTACGTGCATTCCAGCACAATTTACTGTATTAGAAGCCTGAAATTTAAATAAAACATGTGTTTGTCTGATTTATCCGAAGTTAGATGTGAAGTAGATTGGTTTCACTCATTTATAGAGTCAAACTGATATGTGCCTCATGCAAAGCGTGCAACGAAAACAAAGTCAGCTGGTGCAAAGAGACTAAACATTAGTGAAAAAAGGCAGTGTCAGTTAGTTCTAGTGCTGTTCCCTTTTTTGTGTCAAGAAAAGATATAAAACTGAACGAAAAGTATATAAGCAAGCTTCACAATATGACAAATACAAAATGTGAACGTTACGGCTATTGAGCCTTCATCAGCACATACAAATGAAACAATACTACATAGAAACACGAAATCACTTAGCTGGTCTCCCGAAGCAGCCGGGTCGGTGGTTTTTCAGCAGAATGACTACACATGTCAGCTGAGGGAATAAATACCCCATGTAAAGTACCATATTTAGAAACATGGCTACACAATTACAGGCTTATTGAGTGCTATATAAACTTTGTTTTGTGGGAAGATAACAATTGTTTTGGGAAGTCAGTTCTCTTGAAACAATTCATGGTGCTCCAAAAGCCTTTGGAACAAGTTCCAGTGTACAGATCCAGTTTATAAATAGTTGGTCTTGTTATGATTTTTATATTATTTCATATATTTTTAATCACTCATTTAGGGCCTTCTTAACAGTGATTCTTGTATAGATATCTGCTTCTGGCTCAGCTATATTCAACTGTCTGTCCTATTTTTTTAAACTGAGTTTTTATATATTTTTTATTACTCATTTAAATGCCTTCTATATTAAACTGCTCTTTGTAAAAAAAAAGAAAAAAAGCATCTCAAAAGCTTTTCCAAAGGAAATATGCACAGACTACAAACAAATTAAACATTCTCTTTTTTGTTTAAGAATGACTGAGCGCCAGAAAAAAAATTCTAGACATCTGTGCCAAAGGAAATATGCACAGACTACAAGCAGATGAAATATTTACTCTTTGAGAAAAAATAACGCCACTGGAAGGGATTTCCTAACAAAATATGCACAGTGAAACAGTCACTTGTATGTATTTCCCTTTTTCAAGCTGCTTTTGTGTGTGTGTGTGTGTGTGTGTGTGTGTGTGTGTGTGTGTGTGTGTGTGTGTGTGTGTGTGTGTGTGTGTGTGTGTGTGTGTGTGTGTGTGTGTGTGTGTGTGTGTGTGTGTGTGTGTGTGTGTGTGTGTGTGTGTGTGTGTGTGTGTGTGTGTGTGTGTGTGTGTGTGTGTGTGTGTGTGTGTGTGTGTGTGTGTGTGTGTGTGTGTGTGTGTGTGTGTGTGTGTGTGTGTGTGTGTGTGTGTGTGTGTGTGTGTGTGTGTGTGTGTGTGTGTGTGTGTGTGTGTGTGTGTGTGTGTGTGTGTGTGTGTGTGTGTGTGTGTGTGTGTGTGTGTGTGTGTGTGTGTGTGTGTGTGTGTGTGTGTGTGTGTGTGTGTGTGTGTGTGTGTGTGTGTGTGTGTGTGTGTGTGTGTGTGTGTGTGTGTGTGTGTGTGTGTGTGTGTGTGTGTGTGTGTGTGTGTGTGTGTGTGTGTGTGTGTGTGTGTGTGTGTGTGTGTGTGTGTGTGTGTGTGTGTGTGTGTGTGTGTGTGTGTGTGTGTGTGTGTGTGTGTGTGTGTGTGTGTGTGTGTGTGTGTGTGTGTGTGTGTGTGTGTGTGTGTGTGTGTGTGTGTGTGTGTGTGTGTGTGTGTGTGTGTGTGTGTGTGTGTGTGTGTGTGTGTGTGTGTGTGTGTGTGTGTGTGTGTGTGTGTGTGTGTGTGTGTGTGTGTGTGTGTGTGTGTGTGTGTGTGTGTGTGTGTGTGTGTGTGTGTGTGTGTGTGTGTGTGTGTGTGTGTGTGTGTGTGTGTGTGTGTGTGTGTGTGTGTGTGTGTGTGTGTGTGTGTGTGTGTGTGTGTGTGTGTGTGTGTGTGTGTGTGTGTGTGTGTGTGTGTGTGTGTGTGTGTGTGTGTGTGTGTGTGTGTGTGTGTGTGTGTGTGTGTGTGTGTGTGTGTGTGTGTGTGTGTGTGTGTGTGTGTGTGTGTGTGTGTGTGTGTGTGTGTGTGTGTGTGTGTGTGTGTGTGTGTGTGTGTGTGTGTGTGTGTGTGTGTGTGTGTGTGTGTGTGTGTGTGTGTGTGTGTGTGTGTGTGTGTGTGTGTGTGTGTGTGTGTGTGTGTGTGTGTGTGTGTGTGTGTGTGTGTGTGTGTGTGTGTGTGTGTGTGTGTGTGTGTGTGTGTGTGTGTGTGTGTGTGTGTGTGTGTGTGTGTGTGTGTGTGTGTGTGTGTGTGTGTGTGTGTGTGTGTGTGTGTGTGTGTGTGTGTGTGTGTGTGTGTGTGTGTGTGTGTGTGTGTGTGTGTGTGTGTGTGTGTGTGTGTGTGTGTGTGTGTGTGTGTGTGTGTGTGTGTGTGTGTGTGTGTGTGTGTGTGTGTGTGTGTGTGTGTGTGTGTGTGTGTGTGTGTGTGTGTGTGTGTGTGTGTGTGTGTGTGTGTGTGTGTGTGTGTGTGTGTGTGTGTGTGTGTGTGTGTGTGTGTGTGTGTGTGTGTGTGTGTGTGTGTGTGTGTGTGTGTGTGTGTGTGTGTGTGTGTGTGTGTGTGTGTGTGTGTGTGTGTGTGTGTGTGTGTGTGTGTGTGTGTGTGTGTGTGTGTGTGTGTGTGTGTGTGTGTGTGTGTGTGTGTGTGTGTGTGTGTGTGTGTGTGTGTGTGTGTGTGTGTGTGTGTGTGTGTGTGTGTGTGTGTGTGTGTGTGTGTGTGTGTGTGTGTGTGTGTGTGTGTGTGTGTGTGTGTGTGTGTGTGTGTGTGTGTGTGTGTGTGTGCGTGCGCGCGCGCGCGCGCGTGCGTGTGTGCGTGAATGTTTCCCCCCATTCTTCTCTTTTCTCGACAGCAGTCACACCTATATATCTGATGCTACTTTTCCATCTCCTCTTGGAAATATTAACTTCACAGGCCCTTGTCTTTGTTAGTTTCCTTCCAGATTCATCACACAATGCACGTTCATCCGCGGCACCTCCCTCACCTCGTAGTCCCAATGTTCTTAAAGCCTCATCTGCATCATCTCAACCTGCCAGAGCTGCACCCTCTCATCACGGCATGCCTTCAGGACTGACTCCGCCCACTGGTAGAAGACCCCTGCCTCATAGTCCAGGGATGAGACCGCACCTTGGTAACTTAACAGGCAGTTTCAACACATCTGCTAGGAAACCTGGACGGGTTCGTATTTGTTAAGTGCTTTTGTGTTAATTTTAATTTATTTGTAATATTGGCTATCTTCAGAATAGGTACTTGCCATGTGGGTTCCAGGGCCCAGTTTAGGGCCAAAAAAGAATAGACCCACTGCCCCCCCCCCTCCTCAAGAAGCATGTCCTAAAAGGCAACTGATTGGCGGAGTTTCCTTCAGATTCTGAGTGCATCTGCCTGAGAGGCGAGGAACCAACAATCTGTGTACAAATAAGCCACATCTGTAAAAAGATGTGCATGCAAAACTCAAGTTCTGAAACAAGACCAAAGTTCAGAAATTGAACAAGAAGAACTTTCCTCCGGAGTTTACAGCCGGTGAATGCTTCGAAGAAGAAAAATGATTATGAGTGCGAAGATGACTGATCAGTGTAATTTGAACTCAACAGATGCAAGTGGTAGTAGATGTGGGATTTTTGTCACCGATCTTTCTAACTGCCTACGTTTCTGTGTCGATGTAACCTCATCTGCCTGGCAGGCTGATTCAAATTGTCTGAGGACTTTACGCCTTCCATGTCAGTTCTGTGCCATAGCCTACCATTTTTCTATATTAATTAATGTAAAAAAAAAAAATTTAAGAGAAGTTTTAAGTTTCCTTATAGCAGCGGTTTTTTTCCTGTCAAATGGGGGATCTTTTCCTATACTGGAGTATGCCATAAAACATTCTCTTTGGAAGCTGATGGTCTGGCAGGCGAGCTGTGTGACCAGCCCAGCGAATTGTATATTTCTTCAATATTATGTGGATGCTTGGGAGGTTTGCTTTAGTGAGAACCACAGTGTTTGGAATTTTGTACGATCATTCTGTGGCTGCCAAATATATCCAATCATGAACAGTACTATAAAGAGCTTGGAGTTGAATGCTGAATGTTGTTGAATGTTAAATTAATAAAGGAAATCACAGCACTGGGGACACTCCCATAAGTACTCAGTTCCCCCATCTTCAGCAGCAAGTGAAGAGTTCCAAGTCCAATGGTACCAGAAACTGTCTGATTGTATATCCGTCTCATCCTTCCCCTGAGTATTGAGCATCAGCCAGATCTCCTGGTAACTCCTGGCAGCACCATTCTCCTCAGACGGTAATGATCTATCTGCACCTCTGCACTGTTCAAGGGGCTTGGAGTTAGTTGATTGAGGGCCTGTACTCAGTTTAAGAGTTGAAAGGTAGAAGAGACAGGCTACAAATTCCTTTAAAGGTACTTATTTGTACTGGTGAGGTGGTACATCATGGACACGGCACACAATGATACAGTCACGGTTACAGTCAAGCAGAATCAGTTTGATTCTTCTTTCTTTTGTTGTCTCACTGATACCAGCTTGTAGCCCAGTGTCATGGATTTCTGTATTTGTCTTTTGCTTCTAGGGCAGCTTGGGTGATGGTTTTGTTCATCTTTTTTGCCGGTTTCATCTACATCATTTACCCATCTCTTTCTTGGTCTTCCCCTCGCCTTCCTTCTAGATGTTCTGCTATAAAAATATCATATGCTGTTTAGCCTAGCTGCATTTTCACTAGATGGCAGAACCATTTAATTCTTTATCAGTGTCATTAAGACACAGTCTTATTCAATCTTCCTCTCAAATGCTGTTATTCCTAACCCTGTCTCTTCTTGTGTATCAACTTCATTGCACTGGGCTTTATCACATGTGGCTTGTCTATCTCTGCAGAACTGCTAGACACCTGCTGAGAGCATTACACAAAGCACAAACTTTTTAGCTCCAGCGACAGTCCCTAGGGATCTCCGTTAAAAATTGCATCCATGGACTGAAAATTGTATGCATAAAACTAACCAACCACCTTCATGGCACGAGGCAGAAGTTACATAATTTTATTACGGCAAGGAAAATTAGCAATGAATGTAGTCATTTTCGCAGCAAATTTATGTATATTTAATTGATTTTATTGAAACACCTTTTCTTTGAAATAATCAGGGTGGGTTAGATGTTGAGAAAGTCGATATTTCATTGATTTTGTTGAAACACCTTATTATGGTGATCATCAGGGTGGGTTAGATGGGAAGAGAGCAGATATTTAATTAATTTTGTTGAAACACCTTTTCTTTGAAATCGTCAGGGCGGGCTAGATGGTGAGAGATCTTCTACAGCCTCAATCATCTCCACAATCAGCAGTGAGCTGACCGACATGGCTCACTCTGCAACCAGCACGGTCTCTGAGCTGTTTGGTTAGTACATGCTTCTACTTGTCTGCTGCATTCATGTTTATAGACAGGGCTTTTTTGCCTAGATCAACAGGTACTCACCATAAAGTATCTAACAAAGGTGTCACTACTCACCATAATGTATGTAACAAAGGTGACACTACTCACCATAAAGTATCTAACAAAGGTGTCACAACTCACCATAAGGTATCTAACAAAGGTGTCACTACTCACCATAAAGTATCAAACAAAGGTGTCACTACTCACCATAAAGTATCTAACAAAGGTGTCACTACTCACCATAAGGTATCTAACAAATGTGTCACTACTCACCATAAAGTATCAAACAAAGGTGTCACTACTCACTATAAAGTATCAAACAAAGGTGTCGCTACTCACCATAAAGTATCTAACAAAGGTGCCAGTACTCACCATAAAGTATCTAACAAAGGTGTCACTACTCACCATAAAGTATCTAACAAAGGTGCCAGTACTCACCATAAAGTATCAAACAAAGGTGTCACTACTCACCATAAAGTATCTAACAAAGGTGTCACTACTCACCATAAGGTAACTAACAAAGGTGTCACTACTCACCATAAAGTATCTAACAAAGGTGCCTGTACTCACCGTAAAGTATCAAACAAAAGTGTCACTACTCACCATAAAGTATATAGCAAAGGTGTCACTCCTCACTATAAAGTATCTAACAAAGGTGTCACTACTCACCATAAAGTATCAAACAAAGGTGTCACTACTCAACATAAAGTATCTAACAAAGGTGTCACTACTTACCATAATGTATCTAACAAAGGTGTCACTACTCACCAGAAAGTATCTAACAAAGGTGCCAGTACTCACCATAAAGTACCTAACAAAGGTGTCACTACTCACCAAACAAAGGTGTCACTACTCACCATAAAGTATCTAACAAAGGTGCCAGTACTAATCATAAAGTATCTAACAAAGGTGTCACTACTCACCATAAAGTATCTAACAAAGGTGCCTGTACTCACCATAAAGTATCAAACAAAGGTGTCACTACTCACCATAAAGTATCTAACAAAGGTGTCACTACTCACCATAAAGTATCTAACAAAGGTGTCACTTCTCACCATAAAGTATTATTATAAGGTGCCAATACTCAAAGTATCTAACAAAGGTGCCAGTGCGCACCATAAAGTATCTAACAAAGGTGCCAATTCTTAAAGTATCTAACAAAGGTGCCAGTACGTACCATAAAGTATCTAACAAAGGTGCCAGTACTTAAAGTATCTAACAAAGGTGCCAGTACTCGAAGTATCTAACAAAGGTGCCAGTACTCGAAGTATCTAACAAAGGTGCCAGTACTTGAAATACCTAACAAAGATGCCAGTACTCGATGTATCTAACAAAGGTGCCAGTACTTGAAGTATCTAACAAAGGTGCCAGTACTCAGAGTATCTAATAAAGGTGCATAACATATTTAACACAGGTGCATAAAGTATTTAACACAGGTGCATAAAGTATTTAACAAAGGTGCATAAAGTATTTAACACAGGTGCATAAAGTATCTAACACAGGTGCATAAAGTATCTAACACAAGTGCATAAAGTATCTAACACAGGTGCATAAAATGTCTTACACAGGTGCATAAAGTGTCTTACACAGGTGCATAAAGTGTCTAACACAGGTGCATAAAGTATTTAACACAGGTGCATAAAGTATTTAACACAGGTGCATAAAGTATTTAACACAGGTGCATAAAGTATCTAACACAGGTGCATAAAGTATCTAACACAGGTGCATAAAGTATCTAACAAAGGTGCATAAAGTATCTAACAAAGGTGCCAGTACTCAGAGTATCTAATAAAGGTGCATAACATATTTAACACAGGTGCATAAAGTATCTAACAAAGGTGCATAAAGTATTTAACAAAGGTGCATAAAGTATTTAACACAGGTGCATAAAGTATCTAACACAGGTGCATGAAGTATCTAACACAGGTGCATAAAGTATCTAACACAGGTGCATAAAGTATTTAACACAGGTGCATAAAGTATCTAACAAAGGTGCATAAAGTATCTAACACAGGTGTATAAAGTATTTAACACAGGTGCATAAAGTATCTAACACAGGTGCATAAAGTATTTAACACAGGTGCATAAAGTATCTAACACAGGTGCATAAAGTATTTAACACAGGTGAATAAAGTATTTAACACAGGTGCATAAAGTATCTAACACAGGTGCATAAAGTATTTAACACAGGTGCATAAAGTATCTAACACAGGTGCATGAAGTATCTAACACAGGTGCATAAAGTATCTAACACAGGTGCATAAAGTATTTAACACAGGTGCATAAAGTATCTAACAAAGGTGCATAAAGTATCTAACACAGGTGTATAAAGTATTTAACACAGGTGCATAAAGTATCTAACACAGGTGCATAAAGTATTTAACACAGGTGAATAAAGTATTTAACACAGGTGCATAAAGTATTTAACACAGGTGCATAAAGTATCTAACACAGGTGCATAAAGTATCTAACACAGGTGCATAAAGTATCTAACACAGGTGCATACAGTATTTAACACAGGTGCATACAGTATTTAACACAGGTGCATAAAGTATCTAACACAGGTGCATAAAGTATCTAACACAGGTGCATAAAGTATCTAACACAGGTGCATAAAGTATTTAACACAGGTGCATAAAGTATTTAACACAGGTGCATAAAGTATTTAACACAGGTGCATAAAGTATTTAACACAGGTGCATAAAGTATTTAACACAGGTGCCACTACTCACCACAAGGTTTAAAGGTAAAGGTCTTTCCTCTTGGGCCTAGTGCGGCGCATAGAGCTGAGGCGATTCGTTGCCACCTGCTTTAGGTCTTGGAGGTTTGCTAGGCAGATGTTGAGCTAGTGAGGAGTTTATTTTTTTATAAATCTGTTAACAATGAGCTTCTTGGCACTTGAAACAGTAAACATTTCAGTGGAGTTTAAGTGATTCTGTGACTTAGTTTATGGTTTCTTATTCAATGCTCTGAAAGAGGCAAGGATGAGAAGATGATTCAGGAGACAACATTGAATCGGCAACACTCAAAAAGACTACAAGAACTTCATGTCAAAAGAGGTATAGCCATAACAATAACACTATACAGGCGGCACAGAAGAGTAGTAAACCAGTACAGAACCGGTGTTATCAGTCGCCACACGCTGAGGGATACACTGAAGATGGGATCCAAGCTTTTCTGGAGTTGTTCGATGTGCACTGAGAATAATCTGTCGATTAACTAATTATGATTTCTAATAATAGACATTGAAGTCAATTATGTAACCTGTTGAGGTTTATGTCTGAACTCTTTTGGTACCAGAAAAGAGTTAAATTTGTTATAACTCAACATGCAGTTCATTCTTTGGTACCTAAAGAGTTCAGAATCCATTGAATTTTAAGTGATTCTGTTAGTTGGTTTATGGTTGCTTGTAACAGACATGGAAATCACATCTCTGTTTAGCTGAGATTTATGTTTTATCACTCTGAACTTTTTTTTATTTTTTAAACAGGAAGCAGCAAACCTCAAGTACAGCCCTCACAACCCAAGATGATTCCACTGAAGCCATTCACTCCTCTAGGTATGAATATAACATTTAATCATTAGCATTCTTGCTATAAAAATGTTACCTAGTTGACTAGTAATGAATCATGGTGGGATAGTTGTTATTGCACTTGCCCACCAAGACAGTAGTCGGAGTTCAAATCCAGCAGAGACAGGGTTACTTTTACCCCAACCATTATGGCTCAGAGATCAGTCCAACCTCATCAAAATGGTCGTCCCTTCGTACTGTGTTCATTATATTAATTAAAAGGGGCAGCTGTTACCTGGGCAATCTCATCATCTTGTCTATAATGTCATGAATACCATACAAAGAATACACCCAGTGAGGAGGAGGAGACGGAGCACAGTGTGAAGCAAGAACAAGATGGAAAGGTAAAAAGGAAAAGGAGGCGGAGCAGAGGGTGAAGCAAGAACAAGATGGAAAGGTAACAAGGAGAAGGAGGTGGAGCACAAGGTGAAGCAAGAACAAGATGGAAAGGTAACCAGGAGAAGGAGGTGGAGCACAGGGTGAAGCAAGAACAAGATGGAAAGGTAACGAGGAAAAGGAGGTGGAGCACAGGGTGAAGCAAGAACAAGATGGAAAGGTAACCAGGAGAAGGAGGTGGAGCACAGGGTGAAGCAAGAACAAGATGGAAAGGTAAAAAGGAGAAGGAGGTGGAGCACAGGGTGAAGCAAGAACAAGATGGAAAGGTAAGGAGGAGAAGGAGGTGGAGCACAGGGTGAAGCAAGAACAAGGTGGAAAGGTAACAAGGAGAAGGATGTGGAGCACAGGGTGAAGCAAGAACAAGAGGGAAAGGTAACGAGGAGAAGAATGTGGAGCACAGGGTGAAGCAAGAACAAGATGGAAAGGTAAGGAAGAGAAGGAGGTGGAGCACAGGGTGAAGCAAGAACAAGATGGAAAGGTAACGAGGAGAAGGATGTGGAGCACAGGGTGAAGCAAGAACAAGGTGGAAAGGTAACAAGGAGAAGAATGTGGAGCACAGGGTGAAACAAGAACAAGATGGAAAGGTAAGGAAGAGAAGGAGATGGAGCACAGAGTGAAGCAAGAACAAGAGGGAAAGATAACGAGGAGAAGGATGTGGAGCACAGGGTGAAGCAAGAACAAGATGGAAAGGTAAGGAGGAGAAGGAGGTGGAGCACAGGGTGAAGCAAGAACAAGATGGAAAAATAACAAGGAGAAGGATGTGGAGCACAGGGTGAAGCAAGAACAAGAGAGAAAGGTAATGAGGAGAAGGAGGTGGAGCACAGGGTGAAGCAAGAACAAGGTGGAAAGGTAACTAGGAGAAGGATGTGGAGCACAGGGTGAAGCAAGAACAAGATGGAAAGGTAACGAGGAGAAGGAGGTGGAGCACAGGGTGAAGCAAGAACAAGAGGGAAAGGTAACGAGGAGAAGGATGTGGAGCACAGGGTGAAGCAAGAACAAGAGGGAAAGGTAACGAGGAGAAGGATGTGGAGCACAGGGTGAAGAAAGAACAAGAGGGAAAGGTAACCAGGAGAAGGAGGTGGAGCACAGGGTGAAGCAAGAACAAGAGGGAAAGGTAACGAGGAGAAGGATGTGGAGCACAGGGTGAAGCAAGAACAAGATGGAAAGGTAACGAGGAGAAGGAGGTGGAGCACAGGGTGAAGCAAGAACAAGATGGAAAGGTAACCAGGAGAAGGAGGTGGAGCACAGGGTGAAGCAAGAACAAGATGGAAAGGTAAAAAGGAGAAGGAGGTGGAGCACAGGGTGAAGCAAGAACAAGATGGAAAGGTAACAAGGAGAAGGATGTGGAGCACAGGGTGAAGCAAGAACAAGATGTAAAGGTAAGGAGGATAAGGAGGTGGAGCACAGGGTGAAGCAAGAACAAGATGGAAAGGTAACGAGGAGAAGGAGGTGGAGCACAGGGTGAAGCAAGAACAAGATGGAAAGGTGACGAGGATAAGGAGGTGGAGCACAAAGTGAAGCAAGAACAAGATGGAAAGGTAACGAGGAGAAGGAGGTGGAGCACAGGGTGAAGCAAGAACAAGATGGAAAGGTGACGAGGAGGAGGATGTGGAGCACAGGGTAAAGCAAGAACAAGATGGAAAGGTAACGAGGAGAAGGAGGTGGAGCACAGGGTGAAGCAAGAACAAGATGGAAAGGTAAAAAGGAGAAGGAGGTGGAGCACAGGGTGAAGCAAGAACAAGATGGAAAGGTAACAAGGAGAAGGATGTGGAGCACAGGGTGAAGCAAGAACAAGATGTAAAGGTAAGGAGGATAAGGAGGTGGAGCACAGGGTGAAGCAAGAACAAGATGGAAAGGTAACGAGGAGAAGGAGGTGGAGCACAGGGTGAAGCAAGAACAAGATGTAAAGGTAAGGAGGATAAGGAGGTGGAGCACAGGGTGAAGCAAGAACAAGATGGAAAGGTAACGAGGAGAAGGAGGTGGAGCACAGGGTGAAGCAAGAACAAGATGGAAAGGTGATGAGGAGGAGGATGTGGAGCACAGGGTGAAGCAAGAACAAGATGGAAAGGTAACGAGGAGAAGGAGGTGGAGCACAGGGTGAAGCAAGTACAAGGTGGAAAGCTAACCAGGAGAAGGAGGTGGAGCACAGGGTAAAGCAAGAACAAGATGGAAAGGTAATGAGGAGAAAGATGTGGAGCACAGGGTGAAGCAAGAACAAGATGGAAAGGTAAGGAGGAGAAAGATGTGGAGCACAGGGTGAAGCAAGAACAAGATGGAAAGGTAAGGAGGAGAAGGAGGTGGTGCACAGGATGAAGCAAGAACAAGATGGAAAGGTAACGAAGAGGAGGTGGAGCACAGGGTGAAGCAAGAACAAGATGGAAAGGTAACAAGGAGAAGGCGGTGGAGCACAGGGTGAAGCAAGAACAAGAGGGAAAGGTAACGAGGAGAAGGATGTGGAGCACAGGGTGAAGCAAGAACAAGATGGAAAGGTAACAAGGAGAAGGAGGTGGAGCACAGGGTGAAGCTAGAACAAGATGGAAAGGTAACAAGGAGAAGGAGGTGGAGCACAGGGTGAAGCAAGAACAAGATAAAAAGGTAACGAGGAGAAGGAGGTGGAGCACAAGGTGAAGCAAGAACAAGAGGGAAAGGTAACGAGGAGAAGGATGTGGAGCACAGGGTGAAGCTAGAACAAGATGGAAAGGTAACAAGGAGAAGGAGTGTGGAGCACAGGGTGAAGCAAGAACAAGATGGAAAGGTAACATCAGAGAAACCCTACAACTGCATGATGTGTCTGTGGTCGATGTGAACAGAAGAGAAGCAGCAAAACCTGATATCTCTCTTGACACCCCTAAGCAGTAAAAGAAGTGAAGGAGAAGAAGGTTTAGGTTTGAGTGACGGATATACCTTTTTTTTTATTATGAATACTTCTTAGGTAGTTATAGAAATTAAATGTACCTTGTTTTATTTTATTCTGAATACTTCATGGGTAATTATGAAAATGAAAATTAAAAAAAAATTTATTATGAATACTTCAATGGTAGTTAAAAAAATTAAATATACCTTGTTTTTGTAAATATTTTTTTTAAAACTTTGAATGCTTAAGGGGTAGTTGAAACGAACAAGATCTATGCAGGTTTATAAATTGTTGTTTTATGTTAAATACTCCAGGCACTCGTAAAGCACTGGTTGAGAAATCAGGTCTCGTGAAACATGCAACAAGTAGAACACACAGGGAACCAACAAAGATAGTCCCAGGAGAGAAGGCAAATTCAAACAGGTAATCAAGTAATGCTTATTTAACACTAGACATTTATTACCCATCTTTGCCCAGGATAGATTCAAATTAATTATTTATTTATTATAATTTATTCACCCTGTTATTGCAAGTTAATTTCAATACTTGGCCAAATACAGTATTTCAAAGACTCTTGTTGACTATGAGTCCGGGGCTCTGTTATAGGGAAAACAAAAATAGACTCACTGCCTACCCAAAAACATGTTGTAAGAGATGACTAATTTGGAGCTTAAAGAACTTTCAGAAATTAGCTGTAACAGACAACGGAACATTTACATTTTTATTTATAAATGTAAACCAAGAAAGCTAACCTGGTCAATAAAATTTAAAAGATGTCGGTTTTGCTGGCTCATAGGGGAACATTTCGCATGGCTTTGCTGTAAAACAGACACAACTCATTTAAAACCAGCACTTAAATATTATATGAATGAAAATAAAAAATAAAATGTTCTTACAATAAAATTGTACATCCCAGAGAGTGTTTGCTTGAAAGTAATGAGGGGAAAGTATGTAAGTGCCAATCAGTGCCTATAAATATGTAAATCTTTACCTCTTACAAGTGAGATGCAGAGGTGGTGAACCAACAACATGGGGTTTTACACCAGTGCTCATGCTGGTCAAGATCTTTCTGTGCCTCTCCACGGTCACTTAGAAACAGGTTTCCAGTTGAAGAAACAAACACACTTCCTTTTCAAAGGGTCACAAATTGGGCACACAGACCCGTCTTACATTCGGCCCTTACAAACACCTGTCTTTTACACTGCAGCTATATTTTATCAATAAGCATGTTATATTCATATGATAATATGCATATTATGAATTTTAAAAAAAAAACCACACAAAAGCGCGCGCGCGCACACACACACACACACACACACACACGCCCGCCCGCCCGCCCGCCCGCCCGCCCGCCCGCCCACCCACCCACCCACCCACCCACCCACTCACTCACTCACTCACTCACTCACTCACTCACTCACTCACTCAAACACACCCACATTCACCCACATTCACCCACATACATACATACATACAGATTACGCACGCACACATGCAGGCACATACACAGCCACATATATATTTGAGGCCTGGCCAACCTAGGTAGGATCGATGTTTTCTTCGAAATCGGGGTACATCTATCTGAGAGGCAAAGAGTCTGCTGCTGATAAACAAGCCAGATCTGTAAAACGAATGTGCATTCAAAACTGAATTCCTAAAACAAGACCAAAGTTTACACATGGACTGTTAACCAGGACATTCCACTGAAGCTTGAAGTCAGAAAATGGGAAAAAGAAGAAAAATGATTGAACGAATAAAAAGAAAAAAAGTTTACTTTCAAAGGGTTAAGAATAGGGCAAGCAGGCCCGTCTAACATTCTACCTTTTCACGCCAATCCTTGCATACAGTTTTTTATTAGTACCTCTGTTTATAGTCAATAATAAACAAATGTTCACAATATCTAAGTCATAATAACAAACGCTAGAATGTGCTTTAACTATACTTACTGAACGTTTTAAAAAGTTGAATATTGAATTAGGAATCAACATCACAGCACTTGGTGACACTCCCGTAAGTGCTCAGTCCCCATCTTCAGCAGCAAGCGAAGAGTTCCAATTCCGATGGTACCAGTAACCATCTGATTGTATATCCGTCTCATCCTTTTCCTAAGTGTTGAGCATCGGGCAGATCCCCTGGTAACTCCTCGCAGCGCCATTCTCCTTAGACCGTAATGATCTATCTGTGCCTCTGCACTGTTTCGTTTTAAAAAGTATAGTGATAAACCTTATCCAGAAATGTTATAAGTCTAATAGATCTAACAAGCTGTGGTACAAACACATCCTTCATCTGAAATAGCAGCTGACACAAGCAACCTACATATAACCCAGAAGGTTTGAGCCGGATATCTATAGGCGAGACAATACTGCAGTTACAAACAAGGTTAGTTGCGTATCCTTTACAGGACAGTGCAGAACCAACCCCAACAGCCCCTGGCCGTTGTGTGGTTTTTCTAGGCAAATTTACGTCCAGTAGTTTGCCATTTCTTTCTGGACGGTCGGCTTTCTTGATACCACTGTCGAAACCAATGCAAGGTGCATGGCCCGCAGCTGGGATCGAATCTGGCGTCCCGACATTACGAAGTGTTCGTATCGACTTAGCCACAGAGCTGACTTACAAACAAGTCCATAAAAATTACTTAGCTTGATGATGAGGTCTGTCATGTGGGGCTGCAGGAGTTAGATACTGGACAGGAAGTAGTGGGATGGGTAGATAGGTAGGGTGTGGGGTTACAGCAAGGGGCATAACTTGAACAGTTTACTAAAAGGCTTAGACTTGGATTACTTGCATATTACCAGATTCTGCTTGGATCCCTATGTGAAAAGAAAAATTGAAATGGACTTTATTTGCTCTGGTGGATTGTGGGTGACATGATTTTTATTTTTATATTTTTAGTATTCATTGATTGTTTGATAGTTGTTGTTTACTTTTCCATTATCATCAAATAATCCTATGCTATATTCCCTCATCTCCTTGTGAGATGCAATTTGTCTCTATTTTGAAACCCACCCTGGCTCTTGCCAGGGGCCGCAATATAGCCCGACCATAAATATGGTCAAATGGCTGAACCCGGTTTCTGGGACCTCTCCACGGGTGATCCTCATCCACATGGTGGTGCTCTGTGTCATCGGGTGTATCGCTTGTGTGATGCCCTAGTGGGAAAAAAGAGAAGAGAGAGAATAATCCTATTATGCTATTAAACCATGCAGGACTCTAGTCTTCTATTTAGCTCTGTTCTGTGCAATCATTTCAATACAGATGGAATCTTATTAGCAAATTTGGCCTTTCTCAAAAACGTTCATATAAGGCTTTCTCTTGGATGTCCTTGTTTCCTCAATCCATTTATTTCCATTTCATGAGCTGCTTGGTGATTCTCTTGTCTGTTTCTCCTCTTGATGTGCCCAGAATATTGCTACCTTCTTTGTTGTTGTTGTTTGCCCATCAGTGGTGACGAAGACCACTCTTTTTTTTTCATTGGTCATGTAACAAAAGTTGATTGTCTGTGAGTTATCCTAGGCCAGCGCTGTTCAGCTGAGTTAACTCAGGGGCCATAAGTTTGAAAATGAGGATGGTTTCACGGGACAGAGGCCCGAGCTTCAGCATAGAAAGATCATTAATACAATGTACAGTTGCCATGGATCTGCTGGCCACTTGCTAGGCCACTGCAGGCCGGATTTGAAAGCCCTGTCTTAGACACTCTAGCGTGGTTTCTCCTAGCTGCTTGTGTCTTCCTCCAGATTATTTCTCCCAGCCTGCCACTGTCTCCCTCTAGCATGATTTCTCCTAGCCTGCCTGTATCTTCCTCTAGCATAATTTCTCCTAGCCTGCCTCTGTCTCCCTCTATCATGATTTCTCCCAGCCTTCCTCGGTCTCCCTCTACCATGATTTCTCCCAGCCTTCCTCTGTCTCCCTCTATCATGATTTCTCCCAGCCTTCCTCTGTCTCCCTCTATCATGATTTCTCCTGGCCTCCTCCGTCTTCTAGCCTGCCTCTTTTTTCCCCTATCATGATTTCTCCTACTGCCTGCCTCTGTCTTCTAGCTTGCCTCTGTCTCTCTCTAGCATGATTTCTCCCAGCCTTCCTCTGTCTCCCTCTATCATGATTTCTCCTAGCCTGCCTCCGTCTTCTAGCCTGCCTCTGTCTTCCCCTATCATGATTTCTCCTAGCCTGCCTCCGTCTTCTAGCTTGCCTCTGTCTCCCTCTAGCATGATTTCTCCCAGCCTTCCTCTGTCTCCCTCTATCATGATTTCTCCTAGCCTGCCTCCGTCTTCTAGCCTGCCTCTGTCTTCCCCTATCATGATTTCTCCTACTGCCTCTGTCTCCCCTATCATGATTTCTCCTAGCCTGCCTCAGTCTTCTAGCTTGCCTCTGTCTCCCTCTGGCATGATTTCTCCCAGCCTTCCTCTGTCTCCCTCTAGCATGATTTTTCCCAACCTGCCTCTGTCTCCCTCTAGCATGATTTTTCCCAACCTGCCTCTGTCTCCCTCTATCATGATTTCTCCCAGCCTTCCTCTGTCTCCCTCTATCATGATTTCTCCCAGCCTTCCTCTGTCTCCCTCTATCATGATTTCTCCCAGCCTTCCTCTGTCTCCCTCTATCATGATTTCTCCTAGCCTCCTCCGTCTTCTAGCCTGCCTCTGTCTTCCCCTATCATGATTTCTCCTACTGCCTCTGACTCCCCTATCATGATTTCTCCTAGCCTGCCTCCGTCTTCTAGCTTGCCTCTCTCTCCCTCTAGCATGATTTCTCCCAGCCTTCCTCTGTCTCCCTCTAGCATGATTTTTCCCAACCTGCCTCTGTCTCCCTCTAGCATGATTTTTCCCAACCTGCCTCCCCCATCATGATTTCTCCTAGTCTTCCTCTGTCTCCCTCTAGCATGATTTCTCCCAGCCTTCCTGTGTCTCCCTCTAGCATCATTTCTCATTGCCTGCCTTTGTCTACTTCTGCTCAAAACCAATTACCACCATGTTCTCCAATATCCCTCTTCTCATCACATGACTAAAACAGCTTTTCTACTACTACTACTTCTTTATCTTGGTATTCACTGGCTGTAATCTCTGGCAGAAAGTACTACTTGTTTGTCCACTTCTGGACTTTAGTCTTGTTCAAGAACTTGAGTTTTGTGTTCACATCCATTTTACAGATCTGACATATTTGTATGCAGACTGTTGGTTCATCACCTTCCCTCCCCTATGGGACCCTGGAACCCCACATGGATTATGTACTATATTCATTAGCCATTGCCAAGAAATAATTGTTGGTCACTCTGCCTATCCATGATATATGCAGTGGTCATCTTAGAAACGACTGTTGCCTCCAAGCTCTTTCTAATGTGTTTGTTCACACGCTGTATCACTGTCATTTATCAAAACATGGTCATGCAAAATTAAAACTGAATATGAACTTTTACTGACAGTAAAATTAACTGTTTGAAGCATATCTGCAATGCATGGGGAAAAAACTTTACAAAATCAGATTCATAATGAATCTTTGTTTGCCATTTTCAATGTTAATAAGACATTCTGCCAGTTTGATGGCTAAAATGATTTAAAAGAAATACATTAGCTTTCCTTTTTTTTTCACAATCGCTTTGTTTACAAAGAAATATGTGTAAAATATATAATGCCAAAAGTATAAGTAATTTGTGAAGCCCATCTGCACTACATGGAAAGAAAGATTAAGAAAACAGATTCATTGCTGTTTTCAATGTTAGTGAATAAATTTACTGCCATTTTGGTTGCTTAACCCTCTTAGCACAGACGGGCCGATTATCGGCCGGCGGATGTCTGGCCAAAAACAAGGAACGGCCGATCATCGGCCCGATCGTGTTTTACCTCGAACCGCTAAGAAATCTCCTATTTTGAAACACTGAAAGTGATTCATTTATATTCACTGCTGTATTAGCTTTACACATGGCAACTTTCGAGTGTTTGGTATCGAAGTGAAAATTGTTGTTGAATTTTTTAGATAGTGACCTGAACCGCTAAAAGTATGTCTGACTCGTTTGTTTCTGCCCCTAAACTTGATGTTGATAAAACATTTGAATCAAGTGATGACACTAATTCTGTTGATACTGATGCAGGATTTAGTGTTAGTAGTAATAGTGGGAATCAGATGGGGACGCTGTTGTGTTCAGACCACAGCCCAACCATGGCTCAGGGTATATGCAATATGCACCCGAAGGTGTTGACACTCCGGCACATCCATTTCTTGTGCTGACTGATGGTGAAAAACACATGTCACCTAAAGATATTATTGCTGTTTCATGTATATATATACCTGTTTTTGACTATTGAATTGCTTACAACATTTGCAAAAAGGCCAAAGATCAATAAAAAGATTTCAAATAAAAAAAATTTTGTTTTTAGTTTTATGTTTCAAGCATTGAAGTTGAAAATTCAAATTCAAATTTTCTATTTTTAGATATGCAAATGAGATAATTTGCATATACATCAATTAATTTTAACGATATTGTGAAAATCATGAACTTCAATCTATATCCTTCTAATAGATATATTATTTCATGGGGGTCAGAATAACAGAAAAAAAAAGTAAATAAAGTAATAACCAAATTCACTGAAAAAATGCTCCGTGTTTTAGGCTAGACCTCTGAAAAACTTCCTGTGCTAAAAGGGTTAAAACCTATCTAAGAAAATCAGGTTGGTTTTCTTTTGTTAAAAAATTAGGTGAAATAAAAACTAACTGAAAAAAGAAAAAAAATGCAGACAAACTGTGGTTGTGCTCTGATGACTGTGCACAACTTTGTGCCAACCATAGTCTTTCTATACATGTTAGAATTATGACATTCATCATTATCTAGTGCCTTGCTGACCGGCAATCATGCCTCTTTATACCCAGCGATTTCCAGCAACATATATCTCTGTTCATGTGCTGATATCTCTCTATACAGTGACAAAAGGCTGTCAAGAATCTTCTTGCATTGTCTCCTCTATCCCTTTTTCCACACATTTTTCTGGTACGGACATCTTCCAGTTTTCCTCTTATAACATGACCAGAAAATGATGTTTCCTTCTGGTGTTTCTGTTGTCTTCAGACTCTTACTTCTTTCAGAACATCAGGGTTAACTCATTCTGACTGGCAGAACAGTTCAGGAAGCCAGCAGTGCCTTCTCCATGACCACCAGCAGCATGACGATGGAGGTGATGGTGGTGACATGGGCTTTCATGTGGCTGGGATCACAGGACTATTCCCACATGTGTGTGCTGAGTGATTCTTTGAGCATGATCCGGCAGGTCGAGGCAGGCTGGTTACGCAGACAGTGGCTTGAGTCGTTGCAAAATTCTCCAGTGTGTGCAGGTACTTTCATATTCGTCCCGGGGCATGCAGGCGTTGTTGGTAATGAGAGAGCTGATACACTGGCAGGTGCTGCATTAATTGAAGTTGGCCGGCCCATGGATCACGACATCGTCATTGCCCTTAGAGATATAGGACGTTGTGAGGATTTTGGAAGCAACCTGTCCACACCACTGCTAAGTATACGCGAATTAGTAGTAAAGATCGGCACAGCTAAGCATGAGACGCACACAAAGTCTTGTTAACCAATATGGGACTGGTACTATTAACTGAATGACGCTGACGAAATGTTGAGAGTGGAATCTGAGTGCTTATGGATGTGTCCGGATGTGTCCGGAGTGCTGTGAAGATAATATAACTCATTCTGACTGCCAAGGAATTTTAAGTATTCTTCTGTAAAAACCACATCTGAGGCCGCAAGAAATTGATTTGCCTAATCAGTTGTCCAGGATTTATAGCCATATGTTAATGTTGGGGCTGTATATCATTGGAGAAAAAAAGGTTGTAAAGATTTCTTATCATTATTTAACTGTTCCTGTCATATAGGTAAATCTGATCTGTTTACAGTGAGAGCCAGATGTTCCTGAAGGAGGTGATCAACAGTGTTCTGGAAGGCAAAGGCCTCAGCTGGATGAAGGTCAGCAGAATCAACAAGCTGATGGAGGATGAAAACTACCGCAACTTTGTCATCAGCAGGTTGAATCGGAACCTGGACCAGAAAGTTCCTGAGGATGCTGTGCACATTGAAGATGTGGTGGGTGCTTAAGAAATTATCTTCTGCTCATTGTCCTAGACTCTTCCGGGCACGAATTTGACTTAAGTCACCTCCGGACTCAGAAAACATGCACACTTGCACGCACGCAGCACGCACACACACACACACACGCATGCACGCACGCACACACGCACGCACCACGCACACATGCACACGCACGCACGCACGCACGCAGCACGCACCACGCATACACACACACACCCACCCACCCGCCCACCCACCCACCCACCCACATACCTACATACCTACCTTCCCTAACAAGTGGTTACTACATCTTTAAAGACAGTTATACATAATTATTCTTTGACTTAACAATCCAGGTGGCTTTAACTCTTTCACTACCACAGGGAAGTTACATTTGTTCTAAACATTGGATGATGTGCTCCTCGGTACTCAGAGAGTTAACATAGCTTACATTCTCCTGGCCCCATTAAAAGGTGACTAACTGGGGATTTTCCTTTTAAATTGGAGCGCATCTGCCTGAGAGGCAAGGAACCAACAGTCTATATACAAATAAACCACAGATAGTAAAACTGATATACATGCAATACTCAGGTTCTGCAGTGAGACTAAAGTCTGGAGATGGACAAACAACTAAAACATTTTGCCTGAGTTTATAGTCGGTGAACGTGAAAAAGAAAAAAAAAACAGCTTAAATTATTATGTTACCTAGTTGACAATACCATTGAGCAGTCAATAATTATTCTCTAATTTGCAGTCTATCTGTCATTAATACATCAGCATTTTTCAAAGCTTCCTTGCGCTAGTGAATTATTCATCATTTTCCAACAGTGTGTGAGCAAAGCTGTTTTCAAGGGCATGCTGTCTCTGATCAAATGCATCATTCACGGCCTGGGCCATACCATTAACAACCACGGCTTAGGTGGCATGGCCTCGGCATATATGGTGCTGGAGGTTGCCCACACCCACTACTGGGCCAGGGACCTCTCTAATAGAAGTGATACAAGCTTTACTCCTGAGGTAAGTAGTGGCATTTTTAAATGATAGAAAGGTCCCTTTTTCCCCGCCAATGGCACATTGGGCATATTTTGCTTGGCTTTATATTAGAATATGTTGCTTGGGGAAATAAACAGTTGGAATTACGAGGGGAAGTCAATAAATAGGTCACAAATAGTTGTTTAAAAAGGACCAAAAAAAACTTGAAAACCATTTTTTTTACACATACACTGTCCCTTTATTTTTCAGCATAATTTCCACAAAATTTATGTACTTGTCCCATCGTTTTAGCAGTCCTTCCTAACCTGCTGCATAGAACTGTGTGCTCTGTTTTCTCAACCACATTTTCACTTAATTTTCGACTTCTGCGTCATTCGCGAAAAGTCTTCTGCCAAGGTGGGTTATTAGTGGACCGCTTTACAGGATAAACATTTTCCAGCATAAACAGGAAGCAATATCCATGTCCTCTGCAGCCAGCCTCCCTCCCCCCCCCCCCCCAAAAAAAAACACACACAACAGCATGTTGTTCTTTGAGGGTACACTCTTTGAGTACAGTGACCATTTTTTTTTCTGTGTTGCGAATGCACATGCAACACCTAACGCCTCCTAACGAACGGAGACATAAAGTTGGATGTTGCTGTCCCCTAATGACTCCTTTAGAAACTACCGACAGTTTCCTGCTGTCCTGTAACCGTTTGTAACTTGTTTATTGACTTCCTCTCGTAGTTTAGTGGGAATTGTACACACACAATTATATTTTTCTTTTTCTTCATGTCCTCTTTTACTACTTTGGGTGTTGAGGGAACTATCAGGTTCTGCTTTTTGCTCTTCTGTCTGCCTTGATCGTAGCCACATCATGCTGCTGTAGAATTTATCTATTTTCTTTCCATCCCCCCCCCCCCCCCCCCCCCCCCCCCCCCCGGCCCACCTTGTGCTGAACATCCTTCTCTTTTCTGTATGCTTTGTATGGTATGGCATCACAAGGCCTACTCTCTGAGTGGGCAAACCATTTGATTTTCTGTATTTGTGTGTAATTTAGAATTGGTTCTTTTTTGTTTTTTATGATCTCTTTTCTGATTTGATCTCTTCTGTTCACTCCTTCTCAGAGATCTAATTCCCATGGTAATCTTTTTACCAGAGGTTTGTCTTATTTATTAAGTAGAATTAAGAAACAACATCACAGCACTCAGGATATTCCCATAAGTGCTCTGTTCTCATCTTCAGCAGTCACTGGTGATGGTGTCAATAGTAGTTTGATTATATGTGTGTCTTGTCTTTCCTCTGAGGGTAGAGTGTGGCCAAATCCCCTTTGAGACCTTAGGCATTATGCAGAAGATTGCTGAATATTCATTGAACAGCCATAATCTTTGTTCTGTTGGTTGTAACTGCAGATGGAGACAGCTGATCTATAAATGTTGATTGTAGATATATATGGAAGTAGCTGATCTTTTGGTGTTGATTGTAAATATAGATGGAAATTGTTTATATTAAAATTGTCTTAATTGTAGATGGACATAGTTGATATTGAAATGTTTGTTGTAGATGTTCGCAGTGCTAGTTAATATATAGATGATTTTGGTTGATCATGAAATGTTGATCCTGAGTATAGATGGCCAGTTTATCTACAAATTCTGATTATCAACAAATGATCTTCTTCTGCTTTCTATTCCCCAATGGAGCATAGGCCCTGAACCAACTCATGCCAAGTCATTCTGTCCTTCCCTGTTTCATGCAGCTCAAAACATGTCCTCCCCATATTTTTTTAAACTTCACTCTCTAGCTTCCTTCTCCATGTGTTTTTGTTCTGCCTTTATTTCTATGCCCCCGTGGGTTCAAGTGCAGAGACTTTCTAGTTGTGTCGTTCTTAAGTTTTCTCAGCGTTTGTCTCCCAAAGCTCAACATTAGTGATTCTTTCATACCATTTAAAACAAATGGTTAAGAAATACAAAAAAGTATCAGTTAACCTTGACCCCCACCTCCTTACTCCACAGAGAATGTCTCCGCATGAAAGTCATGACAGTTTGGAGTCTCCCAGTCACAAAATGGCAGATGAAATTATCACGTCAAGTAAGTTTAACAACAGAGACATGTAGTTTATTTGTTTTAAAAAAAATGTAAACAGTCTTTTACCATTCTTATTATACATATTTTTATTGTGGCTTGGGCGTAGGAGGTCGTAGTTAGCCTGAGGATTTACGGTCACATGGCTAGTGAATTTGGTCTGAACTAAGCATGTTGGGAATTTATTTTTTGCCCCAACCATTACAAATTACATTTCCTTACCAAAGACCTTACCCAGGTCTAACTGTTTGGCCAGATGCTTTTGTCTTTTGAAGAAAACAAATTTGACATTACTTCATCATCTTATGTTTATCAGTAGTAAAATGTATTTCTTGTTTTCTGAAATCTCACTAGGTTTAAGATCTTGTGTCAGTTAAGTGGGTTTTCCGATGCTACTATATTAAAGGGTGAATTATTTTTTAAAGTGTCTAAGGTAAAACATGGACACAAAATGTTTTCCCATTATTAGCCCACTGACTACCATGATGGCATGTTATGTGATCAGCCTACTGTTATGCGAGGCTACATTGATCTTACACCCCATTCCGCGATCCTAACTGAATGCTTGCTGCCATGCTAAAATCATGACTTTTGCGATAAATGTTGTAAAAAATCATTAGCCATTCATTTCTACGTGTTTCTTCAAGGCAATCAATTATATAATGCTTAAAGTAAATTTTTCATATCTTGTTTTCTTGAGCTCCCATGTCGACGATGCATTAGGCAGTTGTTTTGATAATGGCTGCCAAACATCTGAGCCATCATGGTGGCAACAGTTGGGGGGGGGGGGGGGGGGGGATATATCTGATGGTAAAGGGGATTTTGTTTCATTGTTATCGGAAAGTGAAGATGAAAGGTATTTCTGAACAGTTTCATGACTGGAACTTTAATGATTCATACAAACTACCATCAGAAACATCATACGAACTAAAATGATGATGTTTTGCTTATAGCAGGGTCCTTCTAGTTTACTTGATTAAATGTTGATATAAATTTCGTGCGCACCTGCCAAGATGCAGCAACAGATATTCCAGGCAGTAAATTGTTTAGTGTGCACCTGCCAAGATATAGCAACAAATATTTCAGACAGTAAATGTTTAGTCTGCACCTGCCAAGATGCAGCGACAAATATTCCAGGCAGTAAATTGTTTAGTGCGCCCTGCCAAGATACAGCAACAAATATTTCAGGCAGTAAATTGTTTAGTGCGCACCTGCCAAGATAGAGCAACAAATATTCCAGGCAGTAAATTGTTTAGTCTGCACCTGCCAAGATACAGCAACAAATATTCCAGGCAGTAAATTGTTTAGTGCACACCTGCCAAGATAGAGCAACAAATATTCCAGGCAGTAAATTGTTTAGTCTGCACCTGCCAAGATACAGCAACAAATATTCCAGGCAGTAAATTGTTTAGTGCACACCTGCCAAGATAGAGCAACAAATATTCCAGGCAGTAAATTGTTTAGTGCACACCTGCCAAGATAGAGCAACAAATATGCCAGGCAGTAAATTGTTTAGTGCGCACCTGCCAAGATACAGCAACAAATATTTCAGGCAGTAAATTGTTTAGTGCGCACCTGCCAAGATGCAGCAACAAATATTCCAGGCAGTAAATTGTTTAGTCTGCATCTGCCAAGATACAGCAACAAATATTCCAGGCAGTAAATTGTTTAGTCTGCACCTGCCAAGATAGAGCAACAAATATTCCAGGCAGTAAATTGTTTAGTGCGCACCTGCCAAGATAGAGCAACAAATATTCCAGGCAGTAAATTGTGCAGTATATAGGACATCACATGACTGTGATATTTGGGGTCTGTAGAGAGAATAGCAGATAATGCATGTTAAAAACTGTGTCCACAAAAGAGTAGAGTGGGAGAAGACCAAAAAGATAGAAAGGTAATATACAAGCAGACCTTCAGATAATTGGAGTTAACAAATGTAAAGAGAAGGCCAATCACAGAGATGAATGCAAGCAGGCAATGTCTTGCATGCAGGCGGGTGATGTCTGCATGCATGCAGGCGGGTGATGTTTGCATGTAGGCGAGCAATGTCTGCATGCAGGCAGGTGATGTCTGCATGTAGGCAAGCAATGTCTGCATGCAGGCGGGTGATGTCTGCATGCAGGCGTGTGATGTCTGCATGCAGGCGGGTGATGTCTGCATGCAGGCGGGTGATGTCTGCATGCAGGCGGGTGATGTCTGCATGCAGGCAGGCGATTTCTGCATGTTGGTGAGCAATGTCTGCATGTAGGCGAGCGATGTATTTACAGAATACATGATTTAAAACTGGGGAACATGTTGCCCTGATTTACTTAGTCTTTCTTCTTGAGCCTAGTGCAGCACATAGGTCAGAGGTCATAGCTTTCCATGTCTGGCGGTTCGTTGCCACCTGCTTTAGATCAAGGATGTTCATTATGCCCATTATTGAGCCTCCCCTGATGATGGTTCTATGCAAGGTCTCTCTTGGTCTTCCCCGGTTTTTTTTTTCTTCTGGTGTCCAAATGAGGGCTTGATAGGGGAGTCTGGTCATCCATTCTGACTCCATGGCTGATGTAGTTCTAGCGGATCTCTCTTATTAAATGAGATACATTATCTTGCTATCTGAATAAATGTGATTTTTCTATATACCGGGAACCCTGTTTTTCAAAACTATGGCGTTTCGCACCTTGCGCTAATAGATTCAGAGCAAGGCCATTCAACTAAATTTAGTTAGGAGCCTACATGTTCAACATCTGGACCATCACAGGCCAGAGGCCCTTGCCCCAGTAAAAAATACATTGCAGTTGTGTCTTGCCTATAGAGGCCTGGCTAGTGTCCTGCAGACCGCGAGATGAATAATCTTGTTTTAGAGAATCGAATGGAGAGAGCTGAGAGATAGAAAGTTGAGAGGGATTTGAGAGAGAGAGAGAGTTGAGAGATAGAAAGTTGAGAGAGAGAGTTGAGAGAGAGAGTTGAGAGATAGAAAGTTGAGAGAGACATTTAAGAGATAAAGTTGAGAGATAAAAAGTTGAGAGAGAGAGTTGAGAGAGAGAGTTGAGAGATAGAAAGTTGAGAGAGAGTTGAGAGAGAGAGTTGAGAGATAGAAAGTTGAGAGAGAGAGTTGAGAGATAGAAAGTTGAGAGAGAGAGAGCTGAGAGATAGAAAGTTGAGAGAGTTGAGAGAGAGAGTTGAGAGAGAGAGAGTTGAGAGAGAGAGTTGGGAGATAGAAAGTTGAGAGAGCTGAGAGAGAGAGAGAGCTGAAAGATAGAAAGTTGAGAGAGAGAGTTGAGAGAGAGAGTTGAGAGATAGAAAGTTGAGAGAGACAGTTGAGAGATAAAGTTGAGAGATAAAAAGTTGAGAGAGAGAGTTGAGAGAGAGAGTTGAGAGATAGAAAGTTGAGAGAGAGTTGAGAGAGAGAAAGTTGAGAGAGAGAGTTGAGAGATAGAAAGTTGAGAGAGAGAGAGCTGAGAGATAGAAAGTTGAGAGAGTTGAGAGAGAGAGTTGAGAGATAGAAAGTTGACACAGAGAGAGTTGAGAGATAGAAAGTTGAGAAAGAGAGTTGAGAGAGAGAGAACTGAGAGATAGCAAGCTGAGGGAGAGAGTTAAGAGAGAGAGTTATGATAGAGTTGTGAGAGAGAGAGAGAGAGAGAGAGAGAGTTGTGAGAGAGAGAGAGAGTTATGAGAGAGTTGTGATAGAGTTGTGAGAGAGAGAGAGAGAGAGTTGAGAGAGAGTTGTGATAGAGTTGTGATAGAGTTGAGAGAGAGAGAGAGAGAGAGAGAGAGAGAGAGAGAGAGAGAGAGAGAGAGAGAGAGAGAGAGAGAGAGAGAGAGAGAGAGAGAGAGAGAGAGAGAGAGAGAGAGAGAGAGAGAGAGAGAGAGAGAGAGAGAGTTGGTGGTAAGAGGACATAGTCATGCGGATCTGTTTAATGGAGTAAGCTTATATTATTTGCTTGGTTTAAATTCTGAAATTTTCTTAAAAGGTATATATATACTATCTTGATATACGGAAACCGACTATGGACAGTTGGTGAAATAGTGAACAATTATTTGGAAGCTGTGGAGATGTGGTTTTATAGACGAATGATAATACACTTGACAGATAAAAAGAGTAATCAAGATGTCTTGAAATAAACTGATTCAGGAAGAGAAATGATAGCCCACATCAGAAAGTGACAATCTAGATTCTTTGGTCATGTGATGAGAAGAAGAGAACTTGAGTACGTTGTGACATTAGGAAAGTTAGATGGGAGGAGAGGCAGAGGAAGACTGAGAGAAAAGATGCTGGACAGTTTGACAAGGCATGAAGGAACATCTGTATCAGAGTTGATTGAAAGTACACGAGACAGAAGGTTGTGGATAGACATGGCTAACAACACCACATGACATGGATTTTAAAAGAAGATTCATGTACAGGATTATAAATTTATTTACTGCTAATGAAAATGGCCCTTTAGTTTTGACGTAATTATGCAAAAGTATTTATCTCTAATTTAAAGCTGTCTGCATGGGTATTTTTAATTATAATTTGTATTATCATTTATTTAAATTAATGTCAGCAGCATTATTTTTTGTTTGTTTAAATGTTATTTAGAAACTCCTTACATTGTAATTCAACATACCCATTGTTTGTTTCAATGGGTTATCAACATTCTATCCTTGTAGCTTATGATCTTAACTTGGTCTTATAAATCTGGGCATCAGGTGTAGGGCTTATATTAGGAGCACCCTGAAACAAAATCATCCTGAACTTGTTTTCAGATGAGGCCTTATTTCCAGGGAACCACAGTGTTTGTTTATGCTAAAATTCACCTACTGACATTCCTTTGAAGATTTACATGATAGTTGCTGTAACTTTTTTTTTTAGAAAACCATGCGTGAATAATTTTAGAATTGACATTCATTCATTTGGGATATTTCCACATAACAGTTATTGTATTCTTTCTCCTTCTTCAGTAGCCATTGAAAAGTCTTCATTTTGATGCTACAAGTGGCAACCTGATTGCACCACCTCATTGAATTATTCTTAATTTAAATAAATTTTTTTTTTATTAAATAAATTTAAATAATGCTGATACCAACATAGATTGCACGATTTGTTGCCTGGCATATTTTACTGTATTTCGTCAGGTGCATTACTACAGAGTTATATCATGTATGTATGTATGGTTGCGTTTACTGGCTGTAAACCCTAGCGGAAAGACCTGGTTATTCATCCATTTCTAGCCAGGACCTGAGTTTTGGATGTGTGACCGTTTTACATATATGGCTTTTTTTTTAATACAGACTGTTGATTCCTTGGCAGATGCACTCCGACTTTGAAGAGAGCTTCAAAATTAGTTGCCTTTTACGACATGTTTGTTGGGGAGGCAGTGGGCCCCGGAACCCACACGGGGAGTTATGTCATAAAATCAAGCACAAAAACTGAATAAACTTCACTGAAATATGGTCTCATTTATGCTTTATTATGTGTTGATGTAACTTCATAGTTCACCTGATGAGATACAGCAAAATATACTCAGCATTAATTTGTGCAAAATATTGTTTGTGCACAGGTTATTTAAAATCCCTACAGGCGAACAGTTGTTTTGAATTTTATAAATTATTTTTTTTGTTCTAAATTGTACTTAAAAATTTTTTTTTAAAGATTTAAACAGATTTTTTAAATATTTTACATTCCCCAATTGACTATCCTCAGAGTGGTGGCAGGGCAAGAGAGGATCAAACCCACAGCCCAGCAGTGCTAACACTCCCTCACATTCGCCTCAGCCCCCTGTTGCTGCAGCCAGCAGCTCGACCATCCCCTCCAGTTCTAACTTTGTTAATCAAGGGGAAGCACTCCCGTCTAGTCCTTGTGCAGAGACAGGCAAGTTATCTCTTACTGTGTTCACTTGGCTAGCAACTGGGCCAGAATTTGTTCAGAATGGTAATGCATGGTCCGAAGACAAAATAACAGTATACTGTACTGTCATTTTAATCTTTTGTGCCATTCCAAAGTCACTTGTTTACAGTTTTAGCAATTTTCACTTAAGTACATTTTCAGAGCTGTTATTTGTCACTTTAAATTATGCCAAAGGCACACATTTGAATTCCTACTCTAAATGAAGTTTTAATTTTCACAACTACAGCAGTTTTTTTTTCTCACTTCAGAAAGAAGAATCTTCTTCTTTGTTTACTGGCTGCAAGCTCCGGCGAAAAGTCCTGGTTGTTTGTCCATTTGAACTTTGGCTTTGTGCTAAAGCCTGAATTTTTCGTGTACATCGGCACTCAGTCAGTCGGTGATGTGGTCAACATTTACTTCCCAGGTATTAATTGGTACCAATTTTAGGCTGCATCAATCTGGTCACGCCTCAGTGTGGGTTCGAATCCAAGACCCTTGGTTGGCAGACAGGCATCTGGAGACTACACACTGTCATGTCCCCATACAGTGTATCAGCAGAAAGGACCCCACCAGTCAGCCCAGATCCTACATGTTGTTTCATCTGTCCAGTAAGGCTGGATGGAGAATTTACCTGCTGGTGCTTTTCCTCTTTCTGTTACTGAAGATTATTAATATATTGCTCAATTTCTTTACATCATAATGTCCTCTTGACGTTTTGCTTGAATTGCTCCATTTATTTTTGGTCTGGGTAATCTTTTTGTCATTTGTGTTAATTCTTTTCTATAGTTTGTAAAAGAAAAAAAAAGTAGTATTACTTATGACTGAAGTGGGAAATTTAGTGTCTCTGGCTTAGGTATTGCAAATGCACCTCTTAATGCTGGGGTACTAGGTTCAATCCCAGCTGCGCACGATTTGTCTTGCATTTGTTTTGACAGTTGGTACCAAGAGCTGACTGTTCCGTAAGCAGTGGCAAACTACTGAACATAAAATTTGACTAGAAAAGCCACAGCAGCCACTCACACACAAAAATGCTGAGCTTGGTTCTGGAATGTCCAGTATAGGATACACAACTCATTTTTAAAGTGAAAATATTAAGAGAATAGTTTTTCCATACATATTTTATTTATGACAGAAATTACATTTAACACATTAACCACCTTAACCTGTTGACAGCTTTGTGTTTTGTACAGCTAAAATATTGTGACCTACATGGTTTTATCCCACATTGTTCGGGCTCTCTCAGCAGAATGGCTGGTCACCAACCGAGAGTGTCGCACAGTGAACAAACTCTATAGCTCCAGCGGGGATCCACAGGGATCTCCATAAAAATTGCACTCGTGAACTGAACGCTGCAGCTGTGAGAGTGCAAGGCTAGTGATTTGACCACTTTGCCATGGAGAACCCCTCTGCTTATGTTATAAACATGCCACAAGTTAAAAAATATAATAAATGAATTCTGCCATTCACGTTTATCACCTCTGATACTAGTCAACCTAGCCTCTTGACATAGTTGCAGGATATATTATAAAAGTACTAACCATATTATATCATTATTGTGACTCATTATTGTGTCTCCGCAAGGTCATTAACAACACAAGAAGAGACAGGGATACGAATACCAGCATAAGAAAAAAAAGTTGGAATAATACCACGTCTCATTAATATTGACAGACAGACAGAATGAAATAAGAAATAGTTAATCCATCTAGTGAGAATGTAGCCAGACCAAACTGTATATGAGACTTTTTACAGCAGAACATCTAGGAGGAAGGCGAGAGGAATACCAAGAAAGAGATGGATAAATAGTGTAGCAGAAACCTGCAAAAGGATGAATAAATCCATCACCTAAGCCAACTGAAAAGTACAAGACACATACAGAAAACCACAATACTGGGCTACAACCTGGTGTTAGCAAGATGACAAAAGTACGACACTGGGCTACAACCTGGTGTTAGCGAGATGACAAAAGTACGACACTGGGCTACAACCTGGTATCAGTGAGGTGACAAAACCAAGACACTGGGCTACAACCTGGTATCAATGAGGTGACAAAACCAAGACACTGGGCTACAGCCTGGTATCAATGAGGTGACAAAACCAAGATACTGGGCTACAACCTGGTATCAATGAGGTGACAAAACCAAGAAACTGGGCTACAACCTGGTATCAATGAGGTGACAAAACCAAGACACTGGGCTACAACCTGGTATCAATGAGGTGACAAAACCAAGACACTGGGCTACAACCTGGTATCAATGAGGTGACAAAACCAAGACACTGATCTACAACCTGGTATCGGTGAGATGACAAAAGAAGAGGAAGACGATTGTGACTTATCTTCTTCATCCTTTTGTACCATTATATATCACATAGGGCTCACTGTCTTGTTTTTCATTCCGTCCTGTCCTATGTAATTTTAATATCGTGGATAGAATCTAGTTCATCACCGTTGGCCTCTCTCCACAACATCTGTCTTAGGATTTGTCTTGAACTTCTTCATTTTCTCTGTCCATTTGTTTATAATTTTAGTGCCTGTTTAGTGATTCTTTGTCCACTTCTCCTCATAATGGGCCAGTATATCGCTGTCTTCTTTTTCTTATAACTGCTGATACAAACGTTGGTCCAGACATTTCTTTGATCGCTTCACCTTTCTGTAATTCATCCCATTCAGTGTTCCATCCGTTTCATCAGGCATTTCTTTTCGAGTACATTAAACTTTCATTGCATGTCTTTAGTGGTTCTATTTCTTAGTGATAAATGCATCATGAAAGCTCTAGACTGTGAAATACTAAAGAAACAATTTCTCACAGAAAATGTTGGCAACCACTGCTCAGAGTCTGCAGTGCAGCCTTACTATGGCATGAATCATCTGGAGTAGAAGCAAATAATATTAGTAATCCAAGTATTATGAAAAGGAGACCTACCTAATTGTGGTGTGTAGGTCAGATTGGTCACTTCTGCACAAATGGGTGGTGAGTTTAAGCATGACAAGCTGGATATGGTCAAGGTCCTGAAGGTCACTTCTTCTTCTAATTTGCCGGCTGTAAACTCCAGTGGAACATTCTGGTTGTTTGTCCACTTCTGGACTTTAGCCTTGTTACAGAACCTGAGTGTTGCATACACATCCATTTTACAGATCTGACTTTTTTGTATGCAGACTGTTGCTTCCTTGCCTCTCAGACAGATGCACTTTCACTTTGAAAGAAGCCCCCAATTAGTCAACTCTTTAGATATGCTTGATGGGAAGCAGTGGGTCTATTTTTGCCCCTCCCCCACACACACACGCATGCACGCACGCACACACACACAGCAACACACAAAAGGGCCCCGGAACCCACACGGGGACTGAAAGTCACTAATATTTCAAGTTTGTCTCACCTGATAACATTACAAAAAAAAGGTACAGTTAAAAAAAATTTATGTATTTATGTAGACCGGTATGCCATCTGTGGAGGAATGTGGTCAAGTGGCAGCTTGTACTTTGCAGGACTTTACCCGGTACCCGTTTTAAGCTGGGAGCCAATGTCAGTTAAAAAAGATCCAACTTGATGTGGATTTGAACCTAAGATCTTTATGCTGACAGGCGAGCATCTAGATGTTATGCCATCGCAGTTCCCTATTCATAACATGTCCAATTATTAATACCTGATTGCATCTAATTTAAACTGGTATGTAGATTTATCACTGGAAAGATCAGTGGAAAGAGGGGTAGGGGCAGACCAAGAGACATGATGCTGGATGGGCTGAAATGATGGCATGGAGGGATATCATCAAGAGAGCTGTTCCAGGTAACTAGGGATCGTGATCTGTGGAGATGCATAAGTGCTTACGCCAGTTGGCAGGGCATGTGATGATGATGATGATGAAATAGATTTAAATAGTAATATACTAGAGTAGATTTGTGCTTTTTAAAAAAAAATGATTATTTTGCTGTTATCTGATAACTTAGATTTTCTACTTCTCATTATTTTGCTGCAGGTTCACCAGTAGTTGTGAATGGAGACGAGTTTGAAAATATCGAAATAGCATCGGTCTCTGATGATGGAGGCAGCGGTGATTCTAATGGTCTGAGCAAAGGCCACCTGCGTCACAGGCACCATTTTGAAAAATCACAGTCAGAACGAAGAGACAGCGGTGACCTGTCTCCCGTGTATGACTTTGGTGGCGCCGGAGACACTGGTGCATTTACGTCTTCTGACTGGAATAAAAACGCATCCCCAAGAAGAATGAGCCTTACCCAGCAGCACCTTCGACAGTCAGGGCATCTGTCATGTGATATCATTGTGACCGATGCAGAACACGAAGCCTCCCTTCAACACGGACAAGGCGACATGCTGAGGGAGATGGTAAAAAATAAAGTAAGCTTTCTGATGCATCTTATCCCAAAACATTCCTGTGACTGTTTGCTCCTTTTGCTCTGGTAGTACCCTGCTTTCTCCCATAGAAAATCTGCCCTTTAGTTTAAACTTGTGTTTGCACAGTTGCCAGATTTCTCGATGGACTTTGATGTTATGTTGTTTCGTGGATTCCTGTTCTGAGGGCTTTTTTGTGGTACCAGCATTTTTCATTGTTTTGTTTTTTGTTTTTTTGATCTTTTTTTTTCAGTGCTACTTTAACAGACAGTTTGTGGTGAGCACATTTCACAGCTACCTCATTCAGTTCATGAGTGCAGTTTTTATGAAGATCTCTGGGGATTGTCACCGTATCTACGGAGTTGTGCTCTGTGTGATGTTGTGACAAAGGCAGCTAGCAATTCTTCGGAGAGAGAGACCAAGCCATATTGAATAAAACCCGGTGCAATGAAGTTGAGTCTCTTGACTTTAACTTTTAACTAGCAGAATGTTTCAAATTAAATTCTATTAAATTCAAACTTGTTGTTTATCAGCTCTTGTCTTAAATTCAACCTCAGAGCGGCCTCAGCCTAAATGTTCGACTCCCAGTGACTCAGAGAGACCAGTCCAACAGTAACACATCTGGAACAGCCTGTTCTCAACCATATAAAAGTTAGACTAGGAAACCTAACAGCTACACTGAGCAGGCAGCTGTCCTGCATACGCAGTGGTCATATTTTTGCTATTGTGAGACTCATAGCATATCATGTTAGTTTAAAGTAAAAAGGATTCACCTCATTGCACTAGGTCTCATCCATTATGGCTAACTTACTCTTGGCAGAATGGCTAGCCACTGACCGGGAGTGTTGCACAAAGCACAAACTCTGTAGCTCCATTGGTGATCCCCAGGGTTTGCCATAAAAACTGCATTTGTGAATTGAATGATTTGTGTGTGAAAGGAACCCACAACTTTGAGAGGCACACTGCTTGACCTCTTCACTATGGAGAGACCCAGTATGTCAGTTTCATTAGTAGTGGTCTGTGCTCAGTACCACCAGATGCCAGATTTTTTTTCTGACCAGTTGTTTTGTTGTTCCAGTTCTTCCCACATCATATATATCATGATGTGGAATAATTGTTATACGCTATGGGGTTTCCATGTAACCGGCGGAGAGGGGGGGGGGGAGGGGGTTGAGATGAGGGAGACTAGTCACCCCACATCATGTATATTATAATGAAGAATATTTGATAGATTCCATGTGGGTTCCACTGATTCTTAGAGGGGAAGGGGCTGGTCACCCCACATCATATATATCATGATGTAGAATATGTGAAGCACCCCATGTGGGTTTCAGAGAACTATTAGGAAAGACAAAGGGGTGGGGGGGAGGGCGGGGTGGAGATTTACACTGTCAGAACATCCAGTTACTGCCTGTATGAACCACTTTTGCAGTGAATTTTGCAGGCGGGTTTTTGAGTTTGAAGATTTAGGATTTAGGGTCACATTGCTAGTGGTGTTGATGTGGACAGCGCAGGTTTTTGTGCCTGAAGATTTAGGATTTAGGGTCACATTGCTAGTGGTGTTGATGTGGACCGCGCAGGTTTTTGTGCCTGAAGATTTAGGATTTAGGGTCACATTGCTAGTGCTGTTGATGTGGACCGTGCATTTTTTTGAGCCTGAAGATTTAGGGTCACATTGCTAGTGCTGTTGATGTGGACCTTGCAGGTCAGGAGTTTATTTTAGCCTTTGACAGAAAAATCCCTGACCTTGCCAAGGATTGGAACCTGGGTCTCCCAGATGAGAGCATAGACGCTCCTCGGCATAGACACACTGCCTCGCAACAAGGATGTTGTAATGGGCAGTTGATTAGGGGTTTGATTTAACTGGATGTGTCGGCCAAAAGGTGCAGTTGGAAATAGACGAAGAAGAAGAAGTATTTAAAGGATTTTAAAAGTAAGTAAGTAAAGGACCCTTTTCCACGTCACCAGGCGTATTGGGCATATGGGGGCTAGACCAGTATTTTGTAGACCGGTTTGCACTCACTGGGTAATACGGTCATCATCACACCGGCCACCTTTACTTCCCAGGACAGTACCTGGTACTCACTCAAGGCTTGGTCGCCCTAGAATCCAAGGCCAATTTTGAAAAGAACCCACAACCTTCAGATCTGCAAGCAAGCCTCTAGCCGCTAGACCACGACGACTCCCATTTGAAGGATTAAATCTCACCCAATACACAAGGGACTGACACCATGTTAACATTGACTTACTTCTACCAGTTGTTTGAGCATCGGATATGTTGTAACTGCAACCGAAATGTAAGAAGTGCATGGATTACCAGTCCTGTTGAGTTTCTTGTTGTCTAGTTTCATGTTTTCATTTTGCAGTTAGTTGCCACATAGAACCACTGCAAGTTTATTGTGGTCTGTTAGTACTGCCTATCTTTATGTTGATTTCAGTTTATGTTTCTTTATTTGGTTTTAGATTTCTTATTTTGTTTTCCTCTCTTAGCTTTCCATTCACTCATTTCCAAGAATGTAGATACTATTTTTGTTTCCTTTTCTAGAAATATCAGTGACAGTAGAAGTTAGGAAATAGAAATGAAGTTCTCATGAAAATGTCAACTGAATCTAATTAGGTAACTTGGTGAATTCATGAAAATACAGATTACTTTAACATGTACATCTTAATTATAAAGAAATACGTAAAATAGGTAAATGCAGTAAAAAGTAGATTACTAGAAATTTGAAAGCTACATAAATCTTTTTTAGCGATCTCTGGTCATGCACTTAAACTGGTCAAAGTCAGGTTTCTCCAAAGCTTAGTTGTCAGATCACATGTGGCTTCATCAAGGCTACTTAAATGAGAAGGCAAACTGCAAAATAAATAAAATGTCATCATTTTGTTTTCTGTTTCTAGTAAGATAGGGCGTAGTTTTGGGCCCTGACAGAGGCAGACTTTTTTTCAAAAATGACCTTGGCTTCCAGGTTGACCCAGCCTTGAGTGGGCACTTGAATAGTTCTGGGAAGTAAAGGCCTCCGGCGTAATGTTGACCATATCACCGATCAAGATCAATGTTTGTTAAAATATAGGTCTAGCCCTTTATGCCTAGTATGCCTAGAGGGGTAGAAAAGGGTCCTTTACTTTTACTTTTGCTAGTAGGATAAATAAAGCACTCTTTTTTGCCTTTACTACATAAAGAATAAAGTGCTAGTCATATTCTCATGGAACAGTTAGCCCGGCTCGCTGGTGCAGTTGGCTAAACCGGACTGCGCAATTACATGGTGACAAACTCCTTGTGGTCCGGGTTCGCGCCCGGGTGTAGGCAGAAAAGCCACATTCCTCCCATATTTACGGTATCTATCATGGAATCCAACATGAAGATGGGCACAGGATATAAGTGACTCCTTGAGTATGGAAGTACATGAGGCGGGAGAGCTGGCGAGAGACTGAGTTTCTTTCAGGCAGACTGTGATGAGAGCGACGTTCTGCAAAGGACCTGCTACATGATGATAATGAAATCAAGGCCGAAGGGTTAACAACTCATGGTTTCTGGATACTTAAAAAAAAATATACAATAGTTGACACTCGATGGGCAATATAGTCAACATTATATGGTACCGATTTTAGGCTACATTGAGTGGGAACCACGGTCAGCTGTGAAAAAAATCTGCCACAATGCAGATTTGAACCCTTGACCTAGGAAATGGTAGGTGAGGCCTAGCCGATATACAACTGCAGCTCCCCTTCTGTCACTAATGATAATTAAAAAAACTCCTACCAGTGCTGCTCATAGTTAAAATTAGTGATGGTGCTTTTTCACTGTAACATTCTCATGGGGATTGATTTGATTGATTTGATTCAAGAACCGACATCACAGCACTCAGGGCATTCCCATAAGCGCTCCGTTCCCATCTTCAGCAGCCAGCGAAGAGTTCCAATACTAATGGTGCCAGTAGCTTTCTGATTAAACGTCTGTCTTGCCTTTCCTCTGAGCCTCGAGCATCTGCCAGAACCTCTTGTCACCCCCAACTGCATCAATCTCACCAGACTGTGGTGGTCCATCTGCTCCCAATTGTACACGCTCTCCCACAAGGCACTAACCATGTATGCCTTATCATATATCAGTATTCCACCAAGTTGTGCAGAGCCAACCAGTCTGTCCGCCTCTTCATTTCCCAACACACCGGCGTTACCCGGTGAAAAAAGCCAGACAATACTCCTCACTCGTGTCCTCCGCAGCGAAGCATGCCACTTTCACGAAGCATACCTGTTCTGATCCTCCTCATCATGCTTTCTAAATCAGTTACAATCACGATGTGTGTGTGTGTGTGTCGTGTTCTCTAGCCAGTGGAAAGCTGCAGTGACCGCCTCCACCTCCATTCTTAAGCTGGATGTTGTGGTATCATATGCTAGGCTCTCATGGGGAAACAACTGTAAATATTTGAGATGTTCAAATTAACAATATTGAGTGCAAGTAGGCGGCGCTGCAGTTCCGCAGTGCCTGCACATGAGCTGCCACTGAAAACTGCCGATATCTCATAAGCCAGCAGTGGAAACTGAGAATTCAGAGGAGTTGTAAGTCATGTAAGAAAGAGAAGCCCAGTTTTGTCAGTGGAGACCGATGTTGAGTGATTTTAAAAATAGTGTTGTCTTGTTTCATTTTTTTTTTTAAATTCGTTATTACGTGAAGTCTAGGGATTACAGTAGAGAAAAAAACTAATAAAGAAAAACAAGATATAAATTTCTACGTAAAGATGTTAGCGGAAAAAAACATAAATAATGGTTTTTAATGTTTATTGTGAGATTTTCATCTCATCATGAATTAACTAAATAGATGGATTTCAAAATGTGTTTTGGGGCATATTAGACACTCAGTTGATATATGATTGAAATGTAGTTTTTTCACCTGATATATTATTGAAATGTAGTTCTTTCACCTGATATATTATTGAAATGTAGTTCTTTCACCTGATATATTATTGAAATGTAGTTCTTTCACCTGATATATTATTGAAATGTAGTTCTTTCACCTGATATATTATTGAAAAGTAGTTCTTTCACCTGATATATTATTGAAATGTAGTTTTTTCACCTGATATATTATTGAAATGTAGTTCTTTCACCTGATATATTATTGAAATGTAGTTCTTTCAGTTTGTTTCTGCTGTTCGTTTTTCACATTTACTCAGTGGGTTCTGTGTGTTAAAAGTTAATTCTGTTTGCCATCTTTTAAACCTCTGAGCACTTTTGCTTTCAAGACTCAGTTGATTGCATTAAAATGACTTATTTTACTGACTTTGCCAAGAGAGAAATTCTGAATCAGCAGTAACTGCAGTGAAGTAACAGAGTAAGTGCAGATAGATTTTGAAATGTCTTCCGATCAGTTTCAAAGAGGCTGCTGGTACTGGCTTGTGCAGCTGGGACTTGTAACAGTAAAAGTAGACAGAAATAAGTCCTAACCCAAGAAGCTTTTGACATGTTTGCTACATGCATTTTACAGGAGTTGATAAAGACTGGCAAACTGGACCGCAAGTTTAACAGTGTGGACTCTGAAATCTCAGAGGCCAGTACTCTAGTAAGTACTAGCTCAGAGAAGGAAGACCAGGACAAGAGGATGTACCGGGTCAATCATCAGGGTATACGTTCGGCTCTGTCTGACAGTGAGATGGACACCAACTGGGTAAGTGTCAGAGGACAGTACGCTGTCTAGACATTCTTTCTTTTGTCATAAAAGCAAGAGATGTGACAAGCACAATAATATTCAAACATAGGCAGATGGAAGCTGCAAGAGCACTTGTCCAGATTTACAGCGGTAAAAACTGTGCATGCATTATGAAATCAGAAAGGTGTTAAAAGTTACTTAATTTTTGTTCAGATGGACACAGATTTTTCTAAGTGTCAGAGGGCAGTGTGCTGTTTAGACATTCTGTTCTTTTGTCGCAGACATTCTGTTCTTTTGTCGCAGACATTCTGTTCTTTTGTCGCAAAGCAGAAGATGTGACAGGTGGAATCGCTTTAGAACATCAGCAGTCTGAGAAGGCTTACCTGGGAAAGCTAACCTGGGAAAGCTAACCTGGGTAAGCTAACCTGGTAAACTGAAGAAGTCAGATGAATCAGCAGAGAGGTGCATATATTGCAGCCATGCTGTAAATGGGCACAACACAGATTTGTTCTTGGATGAATACGGATGTAGAAGAAGATTGGCAGCACAAAATTACCGTAATATTTTTCCAGGTTCCATTAGTCAGAAATATGCATGCATTGTAATATAAAATGGAGTGAAAATTTACTTGATTTATGTTAAGGTGGACACAAACTTGATAAGTAGTAGCCCGCAGAACACTGTAAAGACACTCATTTTTTTTCTCCTTGTGGAATAGACGTGACAGAGGAAACGCTTTAGAATATTGGCAGCTTGTTTTTTGGGAAATTTATGTTTAATGTTTATTATGGCCACCCATGTTGTTTGTTTTATGGGAGAGGAAAGAAGGTGAAGATTACTCGACTGGTGTTGAGAACATGAAGACTTCAGCAGCTGTTTCAAAACAATTAAAGCTTAGTCATTAGTACCTGAGGATGAGTCGGTGTCTGTGGCTTAGGCCTTGCAAACACACTTTGTAATGCCGAGGTGCCAGGTTTGATCTTAGCTGCAGACAATTTTTTTTGCGTTGGTTTTGACTGTGGTTCTGAGAGCTGACCGTTCAGTAGCAGTGGCAAACTATTCAATGTAAAATGTGACTAGGAAAACCACAACAGCCAAAAAATGCTGGTGTTGGTTCTGCAACATCATGTAAAGCATACACAACTAACTTTATCTAAGAATTAATGTTTTCTTTTAGAACTTTTTCATTGGTTTAGAGTTCATATAGTTTGTTATTGTTTGGTCACATTGTATTGTATTTTTTACAGTATTTCTTGAATAAGTAAAAAACCTATCCTGAATTTTAAGTAGATATTGTTCTTATTTCTTAATTGCTAGATACATATATATGAGAATATCAACAATACATATGCATCTTAATTTTTTTAAATCTGTGATACAAATGAATTATTGTAAGAGACTGGGTGATAAGTTATTTTTATTCTCATAAATTTTTTCCTTTTGTTGTCCATGCCAGCTTGTACACACATTTTTCCATGTTGTCTTGTGGATGTGGGGAATTTCTCATGTAGACCTTATTTTTTGTGACACTCTCCTGCCATTGCTTGCAGATATGATTTCAAGTAGTTGGCGTAAAAATTATATTTAGCAAGAGTGTAACTTAAAATTTAATCTTACATATTTTTAATTATAACATTATTTCAATTTTAATATGCTCAGGTGAAGTTGAACCATTAAATACATGGATAAAAAGATAACTGCATTAGGAAACAAATGTCTGAGGAAATTAATGGACATTAAATGAAATGAATGTACGAAAGTTGAAGAGAAATGTCTGGGTAACCGCTTGTATCATAAGTTATAAAGCACAGAAATAGGCAGTATATTGGACATATTGCAAGGAGGATCAGATGGAAAAAATCCAGACAGGTGCTGAAATGGGAAACAAATTGAATAATGAAACAAAGACATTCAATTGAAACCCTGCAAAAGAGGCCAAAAGTGCTGGACTGGATTCTGTGCATGATGTTGAGAGATTGCATAGGATAAGTCAGAATGAAGGACTAGACTGAGAGACCTATGTGACATATAATGGCACAACATGATGATGATGAGAAATGATGATGAAGCTTGTCACAGCAGAGATGTTTTTGTGGTTAAATAAACATTCTGCTTGATTTGTTAGTTTAAATTGTTATGACTGTTAGTGTTCATTCATTCATGCATTCATTCATTTTTGTCCTATTGTGTCATTACATGTTACATAGTGATTGCAGTCCATTTCTCCAGTCCTTTCTGTCCTCTGCAATCACATCAGTATCATGGACAGAATCCAGTTCCTTCCTTGGCCCCTTTCATCATCATACACACATGTAATTAATATGAAATAAGTTAGTTGCATAGAATCAGAACTTTTTATTTTCATTGGGTTTGTTGCCACTGCACCAAGTCACCTAGGTGGTATCATAGAGATTTCCACATATGTGCATTTTCAGTGCTGTCATTTGTCACTATATAATATTCCAGAAGACACACTTGTGAATTCCTGAGTATTCCTTTTCACACAACATGTTTGCCACAATGAAACTTTTCAGAGAGATCTCGGTGTTTTTCTCGAATTAAAGCATTTAATTTTAAGCATTTCGATAACTTTCATAGTGCCAGCAAATTCTGTCAGGAAATAGAATACCTGAGAACATTGCTTTGTGTATTACTACAGATAGATGCTTTGTCTGTTACTTTCCACGTAAATGATATGTCTTCTCTTGTAGATTTTTTGTTTCTGTGGCAGTTGTCTGATGTATTCACTTTAGTCAGTTGTCTGTTATTTTTAGTTAAATCAGTTACTGTTATATTCAGTTTAGTCAGTTGTTGCGTTATTTTTAGTTTAGTCAGTTATCCATTATATTTATTTAAATCAGTAATTTATTATATTCATGTTGGTCATTTTCTGTAATATTTAGTTTAATCAGCTATCTGTTATATCTGTTTGTTATGTTTATGTTAGTCAGTTATCGGTTATATTCAGTTTTGTCAGTTGTATTTATATTAAGTTGAGTAATTTGTCTGTTATATTCAGTTTAATCAGCTGTCTATTATATTCACTTCAGTCAGCTGTCAATTTTATTCATTTTTATACAGTAGTCTGTTATATTCAGTTTAGTCATCTTATCTACACTTTAGTCAGCCGTCTATTATATTCACTATAAACTTTAGTCAGCTGTCTCTTATGTTAAGGTTAGTCAGCTGTCTATTATATTCTGATTTGTCACTTATCTATTATATTCAATTTAGACTTTAGTAAGCTGTCTAGTATATTTACATTAGTTAGCCATCTCTTATATTAATATTTGTCACTTATTTATTATATACACTTTTTAGACTTTAGTCAGTTGTTATATTTACTTTAGTCAGCTGTCTGTTATATTCATAGTTATCACTTATTTATTATATTAACTTCAGATATTTAGTCAGTTGTCTGTTATATTTACTTTAGTCAGCTGTCTATTATATTCAAATTTGTCTCTGATTTATTAAATTCACTTTAGACTTTAGTCTGTTGTCTGTTATATTTACTTTGGTCAACTGCCTATTCTAATCACATTAGTCAACTGTCTGTTTTATTCAAATTTGTCAATTATTCATTATTTTCACTTTAGACTTTAGTCATTTGTCTGTTATATTTACTTTAGTCAGCTGTCTATTATATTCACGTTAGTCGACTGTCTATTATTTTTATTTTTGTCACCTATTTATTATATTCACTTTGGACATTTAGTCAGCTGTCTATTAGTTTCACGTTAGTCAACTGTCTATTTTATTCAAATTTGTCACTAATTTATTATATGCACTTTAGACTTAAGTCAGTTGTCTGTTATAGTTACTTCAGGCAGCTGTCTGTTATATTCACATTAGTCAGGTGTCTGTTATATTCACATTAGTCAGCTGTCTGTTACATTCACATTAGTCAGCTGTCTGTTATATTCACGTTAGTCAGCTGTCTGTTATATTCAAATTAGTCAGCTGTCTGTTATATTCACATTAATCAGCTGTCTATTTACATTAGTCAGCTGTATGTTATATTCACATTAGGCAGCTGTCTGTTTTATTCACATTAGTCAGCTTTCTGTTATATTTACTTTAGGCATCTGTCTGTTATATTTACATTAGTCAGCTGTCTGTTATATTCACATTAGTCAGCTGTCTGCTATATTCACATTAGTCAGCTGTCTGTTATATTCACGTTAGGCATCTGTCTGTTATATTCACGTTAGTCAGCTGTCTGTTATATTTACTTTAGGCAGCTGTGTGTTATATTCACAGTAGTCATCTGTCTGTTATATCTACTTTAGGCATTTGTCTTTTATATTCACATTTTCAACTGTCTATTTACTATAGGCAGCTGTCTGTTAATTCACATTAGTCAACTGTCTGTTATATTCACATTAGTCAGCTGTCTGTTATATTCACATTAAGCATCTGTCTGTTATATTTACGTTAGTCAGCTGTCTGATATGTTCACATTAGTCAGCTGTCTGTTATGTTCACATTAATCAGCTGTCTGTTATATTCACATTAGTCAGCTGTCTGTTATATTCACATTAGTCAGCTGTCATTTATATTAACATTAATCAGCTGTCTGTTATATTCACATTAGTCAGCTGTCTGTTATATTCACATTAGTCAGCTGTCTGTTATATTCACATTAGCCAGCTGTCTGTTATATTCACATTAGTCAGCTTTCTGTTAAATTCACGTTAGGCATCTGTCTGTTATATTCACATTAGTCAGCTGTCTGTTATGTTCACATTAGTCAGCTGTCTGTTATTTTCACATTAGTCAACTGTCTGTTATATTCACATTAGTCAGCTGTCTGTTATATTCGCTGTCTGTTATATTCACATTAGTCAGCTTTCTGTTATATTTATTTTAGGCATCTGTCTGTAATATTCATGTTATTCAGCTGTCTGGTATGTTTACTTTAGGCATCTGCCTGTTATATTTGTTATTTTATATTTTTTAGTCAACTATTATATTCAAATTTGTCATGTATTTATTATATTCACTGTAGACTTTAGTAAATTGTCTGTTATATTTTATTTAGTCAGCTGTCTATAATATTCACGTTAGTCAACTGTATATTATATTCAAATGTGTCACTTATTTATTATATTCACTGCAGACTTTAGTCACTTGTAGTTGTGAAGCGCTGGCGTGCTTAAATATACACCATGCAATATCAAGGGTATTGTCGCACACTCCCCTAGCAGTGTGCAAAGGTCGGGTGACTGGAGGTCGACCAATCAGAAGTGAACTAATGTGTAACATGGGGAGATTATCCTGGAACTGACCGAGTGTTTTATTTGTTTTAACAGCCTGGAGCTATGCACCCCCGACGCAGCCGATCGTCAAGCATTTGGAGCACTAAAAGTGCATACAGCTCTGGCTACCGCTATCATGATGGGAAGCTTGTTCACACAGGAGCTGTCGGCCTAACTGCTGAGGCTCAGACCAGGTCGTACATTTTTGAGGGGCTGGTTGGGAAAGAAAGGTCCCGTGTGTGGGATCACATGCAATTCTGGGAGGACATGTTTTTGGATGCAGTGGCCCAGGAGAGGGACATTATAGGGATGGACCAGAGGCCTTCTGAGATGATGGAAAGGTAATTTGTAGATTTTGATGTTTATCTTCTTCTTCCTAACTTCCTTCTTTACCATATGAGTATCAAGGGAGATATAAGGGTCTGGTTTTTGCTTCTGGACCACAGACACTTTGTACTATTGTAGAGTTTCTCTGATGTTATCTTTCCTTCTTGTTCTTGGTCTACTCTGTGTGTGACATCCCTCTTCTGTTTTAGTTTATGCCTTGTATGGTTATATTTTATTGTACTTTTTTTTCTTCTTCTTTCATTTGCTTGAAATAGATTATCTATATTATGAACTTCTCTGTTTAATTCAATCAGTGATTCTTAAAGTTGGGCTTGCACCAATGTTTCTCTTGGCCAAAGGTTTTGCCTTGGTATGTTGTATTTGGGACGGTCTTGGAGGACATGATCTATTGTTTCAGGTGCTAATCCACATGTTCACATGGCTGATTCACCAATCTTAAATTTTTTGTACTTGTAGCTGCAGAGTCGATTGTGTCCGGTTCTCAAGCGTAGAATGACTTGCTCTGGTACTTATGGAGATCCTTTACTTACCCTATGTCAGCACAAGGAAACATCTCACACAGAGCATATCATAAGGTTCTACTAATTAGGGTTCTCCCTTCCAGGTCACAGTGCATCTGCCTGAGAGGTATGCACCTGTAACTCTTGTTGTCAGCCCTGTGCCATCTAACAGTGATTTGTTCCGCTCTAAGATGTCAGCTCGGTGCCATCTAACAGTGACTTGTTCTGCTCTATGATGTCAGCCCTGTATCATCTAACAGTGACTTGTTCTGCTCTATGATGTCAGCCCTGTGCCATCTAACAGTGACTTGTTCCACTCTAAGATGTTGGTCCTGTGCCATTTAACAGTGACTTGTTCTGTGCCATCTAACAGTGATTTGTTCCGCTCTAAGATGTCAGCTCGGTGCCATCTAACAGTGACTTGTTCTGCTCTATGATGTCAGCTCTGTATCATCTAACAGTGACTTGTTCTGCTCTATGATGTCAGCCCTGTGCCATCTAACAGTGACTTGTTCCACTCTAAGATGTTGGTCCTGTGCCATCTAACAGTGACTTGTTCTGCTTTAAGATGTCAGTCCTGTGCCATCTAACAGTGACTTGTTCCGCTCTAAGATGTTGGTCCTGTGCCATCTAACAGTGACTTGTTCCGCTCTAAGATGTCAGCCCTGTGCTATCTAACAGTGACTTGTTCTGCTCTAAGATGTCAGCCCTGTGCCATCTAACAATGACTTGTTCTGCTCTAAGATGTCAGCCCTGTGCCATCTAACAGAGACTTGTTCTGCTCTAAGATGTCAGCCCTGTGCCATCTAACAGAGACTTGTTCCGCTCTAAGATGAGACAACTGTAAACATTGTCAGTCACAATACCATTCACAGACATTTACGTGAATTTGGACTGGCTGCTCGACACCGTGCAGTCAGAATCTGTGTTACTCCTCATCATTGCAGAACCTGCGTTGTTTGATGTCATGAGCACATCAGTTGTACAAGGCAGCAGTGGAGTCAAGTCCTCTTCAAGTCCTTTTTACTCTGTCATTTAAATTAATGATGGCAGGAGATTCGAGTTTGCAGACGACCAGGAGAGCGATTTACTGATGACACAATTCGAGAGGAGAATCGTTATGGCAAGGGTTCTGTCGTGGTATGCAGAGGCTTCTATAGACATGGCATGACCCAACTCTAGATCATCCAAGCCAGCCTTATTAGTCCACGATACCGAAACAAAATCTTGAGACTAGTTGTTCAGCCTGCTCTGTATGTGGTAATGCCATTATCCAAGATGATAAAGCTGGACCCTGTCATATGGTGAATGACTTTTTTCAGAAACATGGGATCATCAGGATAGTGTGGCCAGCTCATTCACCTGATCTTTCTCCGAGTGAGCATTTCTGAGATGTTCTTGGTTGAAGATTATAAACAAATCACCACTGTCAATGGATTTTGCACAGCTGATTGCATTTCTGCTTCAGGAATAGCAAGGAAGCTATTACTTAGGCTCAACCCTGTCTTGAATGCCTTGCTGCACATGGTGGTCATACTCAGTTTTGAAATGTCTAGTTGTCCAATATCTGTTGTCTGACTTTTGAAAAAATAGGTGGCACACTTCACAGCTTGGTTGCGTTGGAATGTGTGTTTCCATTTCTTTACATAACACGCCAATTTGATATTGTGTAAATGCTGTTTTCACTGATCTTATTTATGTTTATATCAGATTTTGTTTTTAATGGTTTCATCCAACTTTTGTCTAAGCGACCTTTCACTTCTGACAAATAGTATATATTGTAGTCTGTCAGATGCTAGTCTGTGTGGGTATGGGACAGTTAGTCTGTTTTGTGTGTGTTTTCATCCAAGGTTTTTCGAAGTGGCCTTTGACTTCTGACAGGTATACTGTTAGATGCTAGTCTGGTGTAGGTATGGGACAGTTAATATGATGATAGTGAATTGTTTGTGTCTGCACCTTGACCTGGGCATGAACTGGAGTTCACTACGACGGACAGGTGACAGTGGGAACTCATGCACGACTGACTGTTTCGCTTGCAAAGTCACGAGTATTGCAAGAACGCTCAACTAAACTCAGGGCTGCAATACAACTAGCTGACGGCTAGTAATCGAGAGAGTTATTTTCCAGGACGGGCGACCATAGCGACACTGTCATAATTCGACCATTAGACTGAAATATTTATGTTAGGTATAGACTACAGTGACTGATAGTTTTTGTAACGATGTGTCGTAGACAGTAGTAGTAATCTGGTGGTATACAGCGTCAGACAGAGATAGGTTTTGTGTGTAGCTTGTTACGTGGGTAGTTGGTTAGGTATTATCGTCATTCTGATAGCTAAGGTTTTTATTGGTCACTGTGATTTGATCTGTTCTCGCTCACTTTGCCCGGCACCCGGCAGATGGCGCTCAATCCTGGAGTTAAGTTTAGTGTTGGAGGTAAGAGCTTTTAAGAAACGACGTGGGTTTAGACCCAGTACTATCCATGGGAACTTGATAGGAGTGAGCGGTGAAAGCCGTCATGTCCTTTGTTTCAGATAGGGGAGCCACAAGTTCTGAGGTTAGCTGCGCTCTGTTAATTGTTCTGTGCATTAAAGATTTTTGTGTGCTCTGTAAGTGTTTGGGTTTAGTGTATGTAGAATAGATTTAACTGTCAGAGGCCTACAAGACGAACCATATGCCCTTTTGGCAGATTTAGGGTCTCTGATACGGTTATACAAAAACAACTAGGATTTTAATCAAGACTTGTTATGGCAGCAACAGAGTACTATTCACTGTATGTCATAATGTCTGCTTTAGAATCAAATGTATTCTTGTCATGTTTCAGGTACATGTCCCTTGGAGATGTGGAGAAGAAAAGACTGGAGTATGACGAGGACAGACTTTTGTCTGTCATGTTGTATAACCAAGCAGCATTCATGCTGATGATGAGGGTACCCAAAATGGAGATCAAGAAAAAGGTCCGCCGTCTGCTAGGCAAGTCACACATTGGGCTTGTACAGAGCCAGGATGTCAACAACCTTCTGGACAATATCCAGCATTTGGTGAGTATAGACAGTGCTTGTGTTATACACACTGTCTTCTCCTGACCCAGGTCGGTTGGTATACATGAATGAAGGAATCAGATATTGACTTAATTAACCAAGGTCGTCCCCATGTGGGACGCAATTTTCCGTTATTTTGAAGCCCCACCCTGGCTTTTGCCGGGGGCTGCAATATAGCCTGACAGTTGAATGCGGTTTCTGAGACCTCTCCACGGGTAATCCTCATCTACGTGATGGCACTTTGTGTCACTGGGTGTTTGTCGCTCTGTATGATGTCCTGGTGGGTTAAAATTTACTTGCTACTTTCTAGGTATTGACTTTGCTGCACTATGCAGGGGCATAGCAGCAGGGATGAGGCGGGCATGTAACTGCTGTTGTCACCGCAATAATTTCCACTGCCAAAGAAAAATACATTATTTTACTATTTGTAAATACATTTTGTTATTACTGGTTACTACTCTCAGGTCAACCCAGCCTTGAGTGGGTACCGGGTGCAGTTCCAGGAAGTAAAGGCGGCCGGCCTGATGCTGACCACATCACCCATCTTGTGCCGATTGATCTTTAAAAATATAGGTCTTGCCCTTTATGCCCTATACGCCTAAAGTCGTGGAAAAGGGACCTTTTCTTTACTTATTACTGGTTTCAATTTATTAGAAGTACGCCACTCAGTTTACTTCTGAACATAGTGAAAAGAAGGCTCGCTGTATGCTTATGCCACTCTTGAAGAAACTGTAATGGGTGAAAGTTACCAGTTACCACATTTAGTACTACAGTGCTGGCTGTGCACGCATAACTTGCAACAGTGAAGTGACGAGAAAAATACCACATGATACCATCCGTAGAGTGTAATTGTTACCTGCTAACTTTTACACAGGTCAATTGATCAGGTTTTGCCACTGCAAAGCAGCTAATTGCTTACCTGCCAACCTGAAAGTCTTGGGTTAAAATCCGTACAATTAGTGCTGTTTCCAAGGAGAGTTCTTGAGCTGAAGAATAAAAGCTACTAACCCAGACAGTTTCTATGTAGTGTGAGCACTACTTTTTAAACTACTGAGGTTAAAACAAACACAAAAATTAAAAAACAAGTATTAAGGGGAGTGTTTAAGGTTTTCTTCTGCCCAGACTCTGCCGAATATTAATAGTTATAATGGTTTAAAAAAAATTATATTGGTAGGGCATATTTATGAAACTTATTACTTTTTTGTATCCATTCCCCCAGAGGAATCATAGTGTCTAGTTCTGAGTTGTATCAGACAGTGTACTACTGATCGGCACTCATAGAAAGAAGTAGAAAGATAGAACACACTAGACAACATAAAAATCAAAAGCTACAGTTACCGTTACCTCCAGAAGGCATGTGCACCTCACTATGGAAAGTGCACTAAGAACATGGTCAACTAGGCACCTCCCCCCCCCCCTCCCCCCCCCCCAAAAAAAAATGTCTTATTAGCCATGTCTATTATACAGCTAATTTATGTGATTCTGAGTTGAGCAGTCACCAAAATATAAAGCACCAGGAACTGATAGATTACCAATAGAAATCATCCAAGCAGCAGGTGAGAGCTAAATTAGATGGCTTCATAGAATATTCCATGCGGCATGGGTACAACAAACTACTCCCATTGACTGGCAACATGCAACAGTTGTACCATTTTGGAAGAACAAGGGAAGCAAGCGAGAATGCATTCATTATCGAGGAATCTATCTTTTAAGTCATGTGAGGAAAATGTATTCTAAGATAATAGAAATGAGGCTGCAATCAGTGATAGAATCAAACTTGACAGAAGAACTGATGGGTTCAGAAGAAATAGAAGCTGCACAGATGTGATCTTCACACTTAAACAGTCCATAGAAAAGAACATCAAATTTGATCAGAATGTATTTGTAGCATTTGTAGGCCAGGAGAAAGCTTTCGACAGGATCGATGGACAAAAATTATGAAAAGTAATGGCTCGATTTAGAGTAAGTGAACACCTCATTGAAGTTTGCAAAAGCTTATATAGAGATTGAAGAAGCGTAGTTAGAATAAATCAGGGAACATCTCAACCATTCAAAATAACATCTGGAGTAAGACAGGGATGTGTCTTATCACCTACATTGACAGTATAAACAAAGATGCCAAGCCGGAAAAAAAAAATATTAGTAACTCAACAAACTAATCTTTGCTGATGACCAGGCCTTGATTGCAAATACAGTCATGAATTTACATCTCACATCCATGAATGAAGAATGCTGATCAAATAATTTGAGAACCAACATCAAAAAGACAGAAGTGATGTCAGTAGGAAGAAAGAAGCAGAATTTAAATATAGCATTAAGGCATATGTATATAAGACAGGCATCTGAGTTTAAATATCTGGGAACAACATTCACTGAAGATGGTAAGTTGGACAAAGAAATTAACCTCCGATGCAGTAAACCAGGCAAAGTATTGGGACAGCTGGCCTCTTACAGCATAAGCCAATCCCAGTCAGCACAAAGAGACATCTCATACAAAGCATATTCATTCCCACCCTATGCTATCAGTGCCAGACATGGTCACTGACAACAAAACATAAAAGAAAATTAGTAACCATGGAAATGATGTGTCTGAAAAATACTAGGAGTGACCAGAAGAGATAAAATCAGGAATGAGATCAAACGAGATAAAGATGGCGCAGAACCAATTCTAAATTACATGCGAAGACAGCAAAAGGCATATACCAAAAGAGGAAAAGGACTTAGAGCAAGAGGTAGACCAAGATTAAAATGGGAAGATAACATCTGAGAAACTCTACAGCACCACGATATGTCTATGGTTAAAGCAATCAGAAGAGCACGAAACACGACCCTATAAATCCTTCAACACCTGAAGCAGTGGATTCACATGGATATACTGTCCATTAATTGCTTGAGTGTGAAGGATTGAAAAGTGGATTGTTTGGCTATAGGAACACTAACGCTAAACAATGGAGATGTTCTGTCGACAATTTAGGAACAAATACTGATAGCAGACATGAGGTTAGATGAAATAATATATAAGAATGTGTGAATGTAGAAATAGGGGTGGACCCGGCAAGGAGGGATGAATGAGAGGAAGAGTACCACGTGTGTAATCAGTGTGCTGCGGGAACAGTTAGCATCTACACCTAAAGACATTTGCTGCAGGAGACTGAGCATCTGCAGGTATGCCTAGTGTGCTATGATGTCCATTCTCAAATCATTCATCAGTAAAATCGTACATGCTATAGTTTGTGAAGTGATCATTTTCAGATTGTAGGAATTGCAATTTGATTGATTGGCTCATGTCTTCACAACCACAGTTTGGCAATGATATTGACCTCAAGCCAATGTGCAGCAGGAGAATGCAGAAACAGTCATTTACAGTTCACTGGGGCACAGACAACACTGGAGACATGCTGTTCATGGAGGTAACATATCTGTTGATATTTTGTCGGTTTTCTTGAGTAATGTTTAGCCAGCAAAATGTGTACCATATAACTCTTTTAGGGCCGCATTTTTTCTGAGGTTTGAACAGCATTAATTTTAAGCTGAATATTTTTAACCATCACATAACAAACCTTCCGGAAAAAAAAATACTGGCTGTATAGTGACATATAGTATATCGAATTAAAGCAAAATGAATGCAGAATACATTTAAACTATTTAAATATCAGTATTACAACAACAAAGTATTAAAATAACACAACATTCAAGGATGTAGAGACTACATTGATGTACAATGTTTTTTTTTTTTAATACAAAGTTTTGAATTCACCTTATTTTACTTGATCAGCAACACTGACATTGAATTCTAAGAATTTGCTGCCATGAATTTACAACATCTCACATCCATGAATGAAGAATGTAAATCAAATATGATGAGAATCATCAAAAAGACAGAAGTAATGTCAGTAGGAAGAAAGAAGCAGAAATTAAATATAGTGTTAGAGCATACATATAGAGCTCACCATAGAAAATAATTTGTTCGTAGTCAGTGGTCAGGCATGCGCACTATATGACTTGCCCAGCAAAGTTATGATTGTTAGAGCGTAGAGAATAGTAGATGGCTGACTTGTCATAAAGCAAAACGCTGCAGTTGACAATAACTACATAATGTTGGCATGTGCAGGTATGTGATGATTGTCTGCTGCTGCGAAATGTAACGGGAGCCATCCATGACCGCTGGTGGTTTGAGAAGCTTGTCAACATGACCTTCTGTCCGAAAACTAAAGTATTGTGTCTATGGAGGAAAAACCAAGACAAGGTGCAGCTGAACCAGTTCTACACGAAGAAGGTAAGAGACGTGCTTGTTAGCTGTGTTTTAGTTTGATTTCTGTCTGTGTGGGTTCCTGGGCTCCATTGTGGGGGAAACAGGAATAGACCCACTGCCTCTCCAACTAGCATGTTGTAAGAGTCGACTAATTGGGGGTTCCTTCAAAGTCAGAGTGCATCAGCCTGAGAGGCAAGGGACTAACAGTCTGCATAGAATTAAGTCAGATCTGTTAAATGGATGTGCACGCAATACTCAGGTTCTGGAATAGGACTGAAGTCCAGAGGGGGACAAAAAACCAGAACTTTCCACTGGAGTTTACAACAAGTTTACAGCCAGTGTATGTAATGAAGAAGAAGTTTGATTTCACATTTACTTCTTATTGCCTCTTCTGAAGTTGTGCTTATTCCAAAGCAGGGCTATTCAGCTGGCCACCCGTGGGCCACACATGCGGGTGCACATTCACTTGCACAGAAACCACATACAGAGAAACAACACATACTCATGGATACACACATACAGGCACACACATACTCTCAGACACAACACTCACACATACACAACCCACATTCAGAGTCTTGTACATTCCTTAATACCAACTTTTTTTGAGAAGATGGCCACTGATTGATTGATTAAAGATCTTTAACTGCCTTGATTTTCACATGTACCTTTCATCTGATCTGAAGCACTTTTTTTTTTATTCCAGTATTTTTTTCAGCTTTTACATATGCTAGTGAGAATTTGAAAGCAACTAAAGATGTGGAATGAAGGTTAATTTGAAAACAAATGCCTAATGAAATTGAGGGACATTAAATAGAATGCATTCAAGAAGCCGAGTAAATAAAAAGAGAATAAACAGGCACTGAACTGGGAAGTAAATGGACTGAGGAAACAAGAACACAAAGACAAACCCTTAAACAGATGTTGATGAGAGGGACCAAAGGGGCTGGACCTTATTCCTCCCATAATACTGAAAATGTTGAACAGGTTAGATTGGACCAAAGGGGCTGGACCTTATTCCTCCCATAATACTGAAAATGTTGAACAGGTTAGATTGGACCGGAGAAATGGGACTGCAGACCCTGTGTGGTGTATAAACAGCACTGGAGGTTGATGATGATGTTTCCGTAAAAGAGCCATTTTCCAGGCCTTCAGGGGTTTTGGGCCTATAGTGCTAGACCTGTGTTTTATAGACCAGTGGGCACTCAATGAGTGATGTGGTCCTCACACTGGCTGCCTTTACTTCTCAGGACTTTACCTAGTACTTTTTGTCGGTTTTCTTGAGTAATGTTTAGCCAGCAAATTTTGTACCATATAACTCTTTTAGGGCCGCATTTTTTCTGAGGTTTGAACAGCATTAATTTTAAGCTGAATATTTTTAACCATCACATAACAAACCTTCCGGAAAAAAAAATACTGGCTGTATAGTGACATATAGTATATCGAATTAAAGCAAAATGAATGCAGAATACATTTAAACTATTTTCTTTCAGGCAGACTGTGATGAGAGCGACGTTCTGCAAAGAACCTGCTGCATGATGATGATATAATATTGTTTTTCATTTCAGTGTAGAGAACTGTACTTCTCTGTGAAAGAAGCAATGGAGAAAGCTGCAAGCAGGAACACTGTTCAGTTACCAGGTTTGGCTTTCACAACTGTCCTGTGTATGTTTATACCATGATTATCCCTACCATTCTTTCATTTAGTAGATACTTCCTGTGTGGGTTCTGGGGTCCCTTTGTGGGGAATACAAGAATAGACCCACTGCCTCCCCAACAAGCATGTTGTAGAAGTTGACTGAGAGCTTCCTTCAGAGTCAGAGTGCATCTGCCCAAGTGGCAAGGAACAACCAACTGCACACAAATAAGTCAGTAAACCGATCTACAGGCAAAACTCTGGCCCTGGCATAAAGCCAAAGTCCAAATGGACAAAGAACCTGGACTTACCACCTGAGCTTACAGTCGGTGAACGAAGGAGATAAAGAAGATTTACTAGATATGAGGGACATTCAGAAAATAATGCCCTATGTTTTTTCCTCAGCAATTAATGCAGATAGTAACATGACTTTTTGCACACCTGATTTGAAATGTCTGTATTGTATATTCTTATGTGTTTATCTGAAGATGTAATTGCGTTGTACCCATTTACAACATGGCTGCAGTATTTGCGTCTTTCGGTCGGCACAATCAACTTCTGCAGACATTTGTTGCCAGAGTTAGCCTCCCAGGTGGTTTTGTTGGACACTGCAGTCTCATTGTTGTGTGGTCATCTTTGTTTCCTAGTACACTCCCCCCCCCCCCCACCCCCCATCGGGCTAGCCCAAAGCAGCGCCATGTAATGCTGGTCAGCCGGGGGCAGAACATGAGCATTCCCCACCATCTAAGGAGGCTTCCATAAATACATGGTGCTCTGGTACTTGGCTCGCCCAAGGAATTGTCACATCCTACTCATGACTGTTTAATCTCACTTCCATATATTGAGACTGTCCATTCATCATGGGCAATACTTTTAGAGGCCAGCAGGAAGCACTCAATGAGTAGCCTGCTTCTTTTCCACATTCTGATAAAAAAGAACATCTGTACCGATCAATTTAAATGCAGGTATGGACAATGTGCTTTACCAAGAGCAAATTGTTATAGCCTTTCTGGTTACACAAAGAAAAAAACTGTGGCCAATAGTCATAAATGCTTGCATGCAGTGCAGTGCATGGAAGTTGTACAGTTTATAGGAACACTTTTGATCACTTAGTTCAGAGCTGGGGCTTCAGAAAGTGCAGAACCGGATGTTGGGATGTTATTCATGCTGTGAAGAAATGGCTACATACCCGTATTTTTGTGTTTATTAGACTACCTGAGTTTTTTTTTTTGTTTAAAGCCCAGAGTTAGGAAATAAACATTGTAATCACTTTCTATGTACAAGCTGGCCTCCTGTTTTAAACCTGAAAAATTTGGGAGAACATGTCGTCTTATACATGGGAAAATATAGTAAATAGAATCCACTCTGGCACTAGCAAGGTGGACAAATATAGTTAATAGAATCAACTCTGGCACTAGCAAGGTGGACAAATATAGTTAATAGAATCAACTCTGGCACTAGCAAGGTGGACAAATATAGTTAATAGAATCAACTCTGGCACTAGCAAGGTGGACAAATATAGTTAATAGAATCAACTCTGGTACTAGCAAGGTGGACAAATATAGTTAATAGAATCAACTCTGGCACTAGCAAGGTGGACAAATATAGTTAATAGAATCAACTCTGGCACTAGCAAGGTGGACAAATATAGTTAATAGAATCAACTCTGGCACTAGCAAGGTGGACAAATATAGTTAATAGAATCAACTCTGGCACTAGCAAGGTGGACAAATATAGTTAATAGAATCAACTCTGGCACTAGCAAGGTGGACAAATATAGTTAATAGAATCAACTCTGGTACTAGCAAGGTGGACAAATATAGTTAATAGAATCAACTCTGGCACTAGCAAGGTGGACAAATATAGTAAATAGAATCAACTCTGGTTAACATGCTCTTGTTTCACATTGCTGTACTGAGATCATGTAGAAAATTAGGTCGTCATCATCATCATAAATTTTCACTTCTGCAATTAAGCGTTTTGGGAAGGAACAGTATGTGATCCATTGCTTGATAGGCAGCCTTGGCTACTGTCATTCTGTGTCGATGTAGAAGCTCTTTAATGTTGTCAATCCATTTTCTCCTAGGGCTTTTGCTTTCTCTTCAGATCTTTTTGTGTGTTGCGCCTGTATTGGTAGTTGTTCTGGCCGCATTCTTACTAAATGACAGAACCATTTGATCTTCTGTTTCTGAGTGAATTTGCTGTGTGGTGTTGTTACTATAGTCTGTCTGATAATATCATTTCTAACTTTGTCTTGGATGGTTATGTTGGTGGCTTTTCTCAGGCATCTCATTTCACAGGTGTTAATTTTATGTAGGTTAGCCTCTGATAATGTCTAAGTCTGGCACTGGTAGTACAGTATTTATATGAACACGCTGTGATAATGTTTCTTGGCTCTCATACTTAAGTTTGGATGTCCTTATAACAGTGTCAGTTGGTATATATGTGCATTAGCTCATTGGCGTCTTGTCTCTGTTTCTCGATCTATCCTTCATCCTTCGAGAATATATTTCCCAGATTTTTAAATTCTTTAACTTGCTTCATACAAGTTCCATTCAACCCGATATGTAGTGGACTAAACATTCTGCTGACCTGCAATACTTCAGTTTTGTATTATTTATATTTTTAGAAAATTACATTAAGGACTTAATGTTGAGTTAAATTAAGAGGTAATTTAATACACTTTGCGAAAACAGTTTAAACAAAAATGGGGGTCATTAGTTTCTGAACACCTTAGTATTTTTCATTTACCTGATACCTTTTCGTTGTCTGAAAATGGTTATTTTTCCTTTTCATTAATCAGATAATTGTTTATTTACCTGATTATTTCCCATGCTATATTTTAAGACATGTCTGGTTTTCTTTTTCTTTGTCAGTTTGTCTCTTTCTGTCGACCTTTCCAGCTGTAGCAGTGTTATAAGATCTGTTTTTCTCTTTCTGTCAACCTTTCCAGCTGTAGCAGTGTTCTAAGATCTGTTTTTCTCTTTCTATCAACCTTTCCAGCTGTAGCAGTGTTCTAAGATCTGTTTTTCTCTTTCTGTCAACCTTTAAAGCTGTAGCAGTGTTATAAGATCTGTTTTTCTCTTTCTGTCAACCTTTCCAGCTATAGCAGTGTTCTAAGATCTGTTTTTCTCTTTCTGTCAACCTTTCCAGCTGTAGCAGTGTTCTAAGATCTGTTTTTCTCTTTCTGTCAACCTTTCCAGCTGTAGCAGTGTTCTAAGATCTGTTTTTCTCTTTCTGTTAACCTTTCCAGCTGTAGCAGTGTTCTAAGATCTGTTTTTCTCTTTCTGTCAACCTTTCCAGTTAAAGCAGTGCTATAGAGGTGCTATCCCGTCAAAATGGACACCAGGCGTGGTTACTGTTTCGCGTCGAGGCAAGTTTTTTTGCTTCTGCCAGACGGTGGCCGTTGCATTTTTTATCCATTTGTAGACTGAAAGGGTACAGTTTAGTCGCGCCAGCTACTGAGTTGAGTGCATGGCGCAACCCTGTGAGCTGCGAATTTCATTTGGAATGTTTTTCAACTGTGACGAACGTGGTGTTGTGAACTGTAAATTCAGAAAATGGTGCATGGCCTGTCGCTGCGATATTGGTGGTGCCCTTATGTGATTAATATTGATCGCGTGCGCAACTGCTGATCTGTTGGCGACTTCTGCTACCGTCGATGATGAAATGCATTTCTAATGTCAGACTGTGTTAGCACTTCTGATGGCTACCGTATGCTGTTAATGCTTACCAAGATTACCAAGATTATAGCAGTGTTAGAAGATCTTCTTCAAGCATTAATTATGATATGTAATATTGTAGTTTGGAGTATGTGAGCCACCTTAGTTTAGCTGCTATACCTCGCCTGAAGATTGAAAGGTTGTGGGTTCAAATCAGAATGGAGCCAGATTTTTGTTTTAAAAAAAAAGACCTTGGCTCCGAGGTTGATTCCACCTTAAATGGGTACCAGGTGAAGTCCTCCAGGGAAGTAAAGGCAGCTGGCAAGGTTATTACTGTGGTTTATAAAATATCCGTCTTGCCCAATACGCACAATAAGTGCAGAAAAGGGTCTTTACTTCCCCTTCATTTTATTTTGGAGCATATAGTTTTGTGATGATGAGAACATTGAGTTATGAACTTTTGTTTAGGACCAGAACTTGGTGGTGAATTCCCAGTCCAGGATCTGAAAACAAAAGAGGGCGGACTGCTGCAAGTATGTATGGAAGGAATAGGCCTCCTCCTGCAGAACAGCAAGGTAAGTGTCCTGACTCTGTTTACTGTTTGCAGTACATGCTGTAGAGTGTTTCATACACTTTTAAAGTTTCTTCCTAATATTGCAGTAATCAGGGAGCAACATGCTCGTCCAACCTGCTTGCATTTTCTGCCCATTTGTCAGTATTTGCTCACATTCTGCCATATTTAACTCATTCTCTATAGCGATTGTGCATCATAAACATCAAGGAAGCTATGCAACAGTATCAAATATCTATAGGGGATGAAACAAAAATATCAAGTTGAAAGGGGCAGAGACCCAACAAGAGCACTTTGCAGGAAGCAAAAGAAGCAAATGAAACCAACACAGAACTGGTGTTTTCAGCCAACAGGCTGCTGGAGTTACTATGGAAGGAAGCTGAACACGTGTGGGTTGACTGGTTCCATGTGCAATGAGGATGATCTGTCAACTATCTGACTGATTAAGTGCGGATGGGGTGGCCAGAACCAGAAGCCACTGTATCTCCCCAAAGCGGCAAAAGAGAAATTAAAGAAAAAAAATATTAGGTCTTTTCTGCAGGTGGAAATCATAAAATTATTAATTTTTGATAACATCAAGAAGAGCACCTGCCTTCCATGACCCTTCCTCTGAACCTCTTTTAAAACATTTAACATGGCTAAAGGACCATTTTCTCAATATGCAGAATTACTCAGAATAAGAAATGCTACCTGCAATAGAGAATTTATTAAATGTAAATCTGATAATAGGATGTTAAAGTCAAAAGAAAACCACAACAATTTTCAAGGAATGTTTATGGGCATTAAAAAAGGTGACAAAGCAACATGTTAGAACAATAAGTGAAGCCAGTTTTCAGATTAATAACCCAATGTCCTCATCAAATGCCTTGCTGACCTGCATGGGTGATCACACCTCTTCACAACTTACTGTCTCCAACAGCTTGTATGCGTTCTTGTGCTGGCATTCCTTCATGACATAACAAAAGACTGTCAAGAATCTTCTCACATTGTCTTCTTCTGTCTCTCTTTCCAAAGATCTTTCCAGTGGTCACACAGTCTTCTAATTTCCCTCTTCTCACAACAAAGCCACACACAAAAAGTGATGGCTGTATCCTTCTGATGTTTGTGATAAGCTATCTTTGGTTCCTCACCTCATTCACAACAGTTGATTACTCGTTTTGGCTGTCCAAGGAATTGTAAGCATTCTTCTTTAAAATCACAACTCAGAGGTTTCAAATAAAAGAAGGAAACAGTATTGGAAAAATGGTAGTTGAATACCTGTAATGATACTTTTCCCCCTGGGTTACCTGAGTCCATACAGGAATCAAAGAATAGTAACATTCACCTACAATCTTTGTTTTAGAAAGTTGTTAAGAAGGGTTGATTGCTACGTCTCACAGAAATTACCTACAAAATTCAGCTAGTCATTAGTAAGTCTCAAAAGGGCTTTCATATGAGTGGCTAAGAGCCAGAGTAAAAAAACGGCAAACTCAGAGTACGACAGTGTATCTACAGGTGTAGCGCTTCCACACAAACAGCAGAAGACTGTTAAAGATCTCAGGCACACTGCCCTGTTTGTGACCTATGCTGGACTAAATGCAACATAAACATTTATTGATGGAGGAGCAGGAGGAGGAGAAAAAGAGGAAAGAGGAGGAGGAGGAATGGAAGAAGAAGAAGAAAGTTATGAGCGTATGCTCTAATAAGAGTTGAAAGACAAGATGGACATAAAATAAAATTGCTGCTGGCACCGTCGAAACTGGAACTCTTTGCTGGCTGCTGAAGATGAGGACGGAGCGCTTATGGGAATGTCTAGAGTGCAGTGATGTTATTTGTTAGGTGAAGAAATTATACTTAATAAAAAAAAATAGGCATTATAAGAAATGACATCAAAAAAACTAGTTGTCATAACAATGATCTGGGACTCCGAATTATTGACACTCAATGTGTCAACATCCATCACGAACCTGGGAAACAAAGATGCTGAGCCCGCTTTAGTGAAGAAAGCACTCACAATGGAACACCTCAACAACATGTTCCCACAGGACAGCTGGACGAGAATCTACACAGATGGATCAGCAAAAGAGGCAACTACGAATGGTGGGGCAGGTGTTTACATAAAACACCCAGATGCCACTACTGTGTCCCTAGCAGCCCCCACCGGACGAACGTTCTCTAACTACAAGGCAGAACTCTCAGCCCTATTGATGGCAGCACAGTATATGAACAATCTGCAAATCACCGCAGGCAGGATAGTTTTCCTCACCGACTCACTGTCAGCTATACAGGCCCTTGAGTCCAAACCTACCGACAGCACACTACAAAGTCTAACACATGAACTTGCTATGTTGTCAAGGCAGAAATTCACTTGCAGTGGATTCCGTCTCACTGTGGCATCAAAGGCAATGAAAGCGCATATGCTTTAGCCAAGGAAGGCAGTAACAAACCACAGACCTACCAGCCACTATCTTTTCCAGAAGTCAAAACTCTCATTAAGAGAAAATCAGAAACAGATTGGAAAACCAACACTGGTTATTACTACGAAAAAGATTTTCTGAAACACTTGAACAGAACAGACCAAGTCACAGTTTTTCGCTTACGCACTGGACACTGCAGACTCAATAAACACTCACATAAATTAGGTATGAGCCAAACAGCTCTCTGCCGGTGCCTTTGTGCTGAACAGACTCCAGAACATGTCCTGCAAGACTGTCCTCTCCTGGCGGAGCTGCGGAGCGACATATTCCAACACCCAGTAGAACTGACAACTAAGCTTTGGGGAAACCTAAGAGACCTTGAAAAGACATCCCAGTTTATGACCCACAGTGGATTATGCGCATGACCAGAGATCGCTGAAGAAGAAGAAAAATAACAATGATCTCAGACTTTAAAAAAATGAACACCACAAGTAAAATAGTATGGCCATGTGTCATGATTGCTATCACACAAAGTAGGTCACTCAGGTATGTAAACGGAACATACCTTCATCAGCTTTAAAAAAAAAAAAATACAGATTGGACACTAGTAATCAAAATAGATGTCTAATTATACATTGAAGTTGGAGAAGAAAATTATAACTATGTGACTCCAGGATCAGAACACTAATCAAGGGAAAATACAAGGAAATGAGGACAGAACAATCTAACAGTAAACATCCACAAGACCCCGTCGGCAGAGTCATAATACAACAATATTCCGTCCACGAACAGAACCCTGCAGGCTTAACAACTCATGCATAAAATAAAGATTGTACAATCCCCACAGTGTGCCTGTCAAACAGGACCCACAAACACCTGAGTACATTCTGCAGACCTGCCCACTCTACCTACAACTTCGAAAAGACCTGGCCTCAAGAGAAAAATGTGCAGAGCAAGCTATGGGGAACCATGCAGGACCTGCAGCTGAAATGCGAGTTCATAGAGGCAACCCACCTGATGGTCTGATCTGAGCATACAAAACCGAATGCAAAGAAGAAAAAGAAGAATCCAGGAAATTCACATCAGTCGTTAGTCAAGGTTTCCACTTCACTGCAGATGTGTCACTTAGTCATTAGTCAAGGTTCCCACCTCACTGCAGTTGTGTCACTCACTTGTTAGTTGAGGTTCCCACTTCACTACAGATGTGTTACTCGGTCATTAGTCAAGGTTCCCACTTCACTGCAGTTGTGTCACTCAGTCATTAGTCAAGGTTCCCACTACACTACAGATGTGTCACTCAGTCGTTAGTCGAGGTTCCCACTTCACTACAGTTGTGTCACTCAGTCATTAGTCAAGGTTCCCACCTCACTACAGTTGTGTCACTCAGTCATTAGTCAAGGTTCCCACTTCACTACAGATGTGTTACTCGGTCATTAGTCAAGGTTCCCACTTCACTGCAGTTGTGTCACTCAGTCATTAGTCAAGGTTCCCACCTCACTACAGTTGTGTCACTCAGTCATTAGTCAAGGTTCCCACTTCACTACAGATGTGTCACTCAGTCATTAGTCAAGGTTCCCACTTCACTACAGATGTGTTACTCGGTCATTAGTCAAGGTTCCCACTTCACTGCAGTTGTGTCACTCAGTCATTAGTCAAGGTTCCCACTGCAGATGTGTCATTTAGTTGTTAGTCAAGGTTTCCACCTCACTGCAGATGTGTCATTTAGTTGTTAGTCAAGGTTCCCACTTCACTACAGATGTGTGTCCCCATAACTGCGGCATTCCTGTGCCACTGGAACTCACACAAAATGTCTTTCACTAGAGGGGATTCCCCTTTTGGGTTCCATGTCTCTACTTTGAAGAATGAATAGACCCACTACTCATTTACACCCCCCCTCCCCCAACCCCCTTTTTTTTCTCATCCCCGCACTCGAGCAAGTGTGATGTAGGAGGTGACTAATTAGGAGTGTTTTCTACAAAGTCAGGGTGCATTTGCCTGAAACTCAAGGAACCAACAGGCTGCATACAGAAAAGCCAGATCTGTCAAACAGATATGCGTGTATAAGTTCTGAATCAAGACCAAAGTTCAGGACTAGATGAACAACCAAAACTTTCTGCTGAGGTTTACAGCTGGGGAGACCTAAAAAGAAGAAAAAAGAGACTACCAAATTTAAAGTAACAACATTTTAAAGAGTGAAGAAAAACAAATTAGTTTGTGTGTAGTATTGAAATACGGTATCCCCGTGGGGGTCCTTCAGCCCAGGTGTGGGTCCCACGGCCCAGTTGTGAGGGAAAACAAGAACAGACCCACTACCTCCCCAACAAGCATGTCATAGGTGTCAACTCAAAGTTGGGATGCATCTGCTTGAGCTGTAAGGAACAAACAAAAAAAATTGGCCAGTAAATTGCACATAGTCTAAACAGTTAAACAAACACAACTTTCTGGGTAGCTTAAGAGCCGATGAACAAAGAAGAAGAAGAAGAAATATTGTATATGTTAATAATTGTTATAGAAATGGCTTCATATAAGCAGTAATCCAACTAGGAAAAGGCATTGATTGCTTGGCTGTTGACTTTTGCAAGTTGTATTTTATTGCTCCAAATTTGTTACCTGTTTTTGTGGATG